GGGGGTATCACAACCATGAGATGATTGTATATCCATTCGGTCATCCACTACTAGAAAACAGGCTATTTCCGGCGGAAAAAATTCCGTTGGAAACACCCTGAATTCCGTCGGAACGTGTTGTTGGAAGACCTTTTGTAGGTAAAATGGCTTTTTCCGTCGGAACAGTGTTTTCCGACGGAATTCCGACGGAATTCTCTCGTAGGAAAGAAAGTTCCGGCCACCGGAAAGTCCGTCGGAAATTTCCGACGGAATACAAATCCGCCCACCACCATACCCTGCCCAGACCACCACCACCCCAACCACCCTACCCTGCCCAGACCACCCTGCCCAGACCACACCACGCCACCCTGCCCAGACCACCCCACGCCACCCTGCCCAGATCCACCCACCCTGAACCAGACCCACCACCCAGACCCACCACCCAGACCCACAAACCCAACCCAGAACCACCAAATAACCCACACCCCACGAACCCTACACCACCCACACCCACCCTATCTCCACCTCGCCACCCCCACAACCACCATATCTCCACCTCGCCACCCCCACAACCCACAAAATCGAAACCAAAAACTAAAAAAAAAACGAAAAAAACTAAATAATCGAAACCACAAAAACCAATCAAACAAAATCGAGACCACCAAATCGGAATAAAAACCACAAAATCGAAATAAACAATTTATATATTATATTGTCTGAAAATCTGAAAAATTACAAACTTAAATTACAATTTCATCATAAAAATCATTATAAAAATCATAAATTTGTAAAAAATAAACCTAGATCTACATATATTTCCGACCTTCTAGGTGTTGTTGAGCGTCGGTGGTTGTTGTTGTTGAGCGGCGGTGGCTGTTGCGGTTGTTGTTGTTCCGGTTGTTGTTGTTGCGGTTGTTGATGTTGATGAATAGAAAGAAAGAAGGAGAAAGAGGAGAAGGAGAAAGAGGAGAAGGAGAAAGGAATGAGGAAGAAGAGGAGAGAAGGAGGAGAAGGAGAATGAGAGGAGAGAGAAAGAGAAGAAGAGAGGAGAGATAAGGAGAAAGAGGCGGGTTGCTGTCAAAAAAAAAGGAGAAGAGAGGCGGAGAGATGGGGTGGGTTTAGGGTTTTTTTTATTATTATTTAAATATGCTCCAACGGAATATTCCGTCGAAATACTAATTTTCCTACGGAAATTTCCGACATATTTTATTTCGTCGGAAAGTTTTTGTTTCGACGGAATAATCCGTCGGAAAATTAATATTCCGACGGAAAATTCCGTCGGAAAACCCATATATTCCAACGGATTTTAATTACGTAGGAAATCCGTCGGAAATATCCGACGGATTTATGTTCCGTCGGAATTTCCGACGGATTTTCTTGTCCGTCGGAAGAAGTCCGTCGGAAATAAGCCTATTTCTTGTAGTGATCGACAGTTAAGCGGCCTAAGTCCTGCTGCAAAACTAGTTGTCAAAGAAATGAGTGATGCTCAAGTGAAGCCTGCTAAAATATTAGCATCTGTGTTAGAAAAATTTCCTGAAGACCAGCCAAACTGAAGACACATCTACAACGTCAGACAGAAACTGAGGTTTGAACGGTCAGAGGGAAGGAACCCTACACAGCAGCTTCTACACCAGGCACAAGCACGTGGTTACCTGTTTTGGTTTTATTCTAATAAAGAGACATTCGAGGTGACTCATTTATTCCTTGTGCATTCTGATTGTGCTGATATGATTAAGTCTTGGCCACCTGTGATTTTGATCGATTCAACATACAAGACAAACAAGCACAAGTTCCTACTGATTGAGATTAGGGGTGAGCAAAAAAATTGGGTACCCGGTATTGGATCCGGAACCGGTTGGGAACCGGCGGGTCCAAACCCGAAATTGGACCCAGCGGGACCAGTTCCAAATCCAAAAATTGGGACCCGGTTTTAACGGGGACCAGTTCCAATTCCTCACAATTTGGACCCGGTACCCAGTGGGTACCCGATATCAATAATAAAAAACCTTGGAATAAAGTATGACTAGTTTGCATGTAAGCCCAGCCCATTAACTAAAGGTCCAAATATCTCTAAACCTAATCTACCTACCAAACTCCACTGCCGTTTCGCATCTCACCCTTAGCTTCTTCATTCATTTGCTAGATACTACAAATACAAGTCAGCTTCTCCTTTTCTTGCTTTGATTTTTTTTTTTTCATTTTCATCTTTATTCATTGAATCTACTAGAATGTTGTGTTTAGTTTTCATTCTTTTTTAAATTAGTTAATTTTTTGTAGATCTACTATGTTTTTAGAGTGATAATCTTGAGTTGATTTGAGTTTTTGAGAATTTTGGGGTTTTTTTTCTTTTGGTGAGGATTCATCCATGGTGTAGCTTTGTGTAATTGAGTAATGGCATGATGAATTTGCATTGGGGGGGTGAATTGAAGTGGTGGTGCGATGAAATAAGTGGTTTGGTGCAGGTTTTATTTAATTTTTTTTTAATTTTATGTTCGCTGAAACCGGGTACCCGGTTTAGGAACCGGTACCCACAAGTTCCAAGACCAGTTCTAGAAAACTAGGACCCGTTTTGTACGGAACCAGGACCAGTTCCAAATTTCAGGACCCGATGCTGACTGGATCCAGTTCTGGGTCCGAGATATTTGACCGGGTACCTGGTATTGCTCACCCCTAGTTGAGATGATTGGGATGGCTCCAATGAACCAGAACTTTCTGATTGGTTATGCAGTCATCAAGGATGAGACGGCTGCGATTTATTATTGGGTGTTGGAGAAGTTGAGAAACTACATCGGCCCTAATGTTCAGCCATCAACCATCGTCAGTGATGGTGAGGGAGGTCTCTTTGCCCCTATAGCGGAGCTGTTTCCAGAATCGAAGCATCTACTGTGCACATGGCACATCAACAACTGTGTGAAAGTCAAAGTCTACCACATTTTCAACAAGAATTTACATTCAGTAGAGAGATTGCTAAATAGTAAGTGGCGGAAGATCCTGCAAGCTACCACAGAGGCAGAGTACGATCGAGCCTTGGATAACTTCAAGGATGTGTACCAATGGTGTCCGACAGTGGTAAATTATGTGATGCAGCAGTGGATACCTCACAGGGAAAAGTTTGTCAAATATTGGACAAACCAAGTTCTTTATTTTGGAAGCACTACAACCTGTAAAGTTGAGAGCGCTCATAAAGCTTTGAAGGACAAGATTGATTCTTCCACCTTTGCTCTAGATACACTGTTCGAGAGAATAAACAATGCTATTGATACTCAGAAGAACAGCATCAAGAACTCTCTCGAGGACTCTAGACGGAGACATGGTATGATGTATTGCCATTTCATATTTAAGATTTTCCATGGTGGTGTGTCACACTACTGCTTGGGATTGATTCTAAGTGAGCACAACAGGATGAAGGAGTTGGGTGATGAAGTGGCTATTTGGTGCGGATGTGCTATATCGATGACTCATGGACTACCTTGTGCATGCACCATTCACCGCGTAATTACCCAAGATAGGGCGTCGTTACATGTTGATCAGGTTCATCCATTTTGGCGGACGCTCGTTATTGGAGAACATGTTGTTCCACAGACGGTCGACCGTGGACAAGAGGAGTTGGAGCAGTTTCGTTCGATGTTTGACCTAGTGTCCTCTAGTTACCCTTCAATCATTCGTGATGCTACCCACATACTTCATGACATGTTCAACCCGTTATGCTTGGATCACGAGGAACCTGAGGGGGTCGAGCGACCTAGAGGTTGACAACCACGGCGGAACAGGAGTGCGTTTGAGTAAATTTGTGGTCGTGGTCGTGGCCGTGGTCGTTCATTGTCATCCGGACGTTCGTCTGGTCGTGGCCGATCTTCTTCGTCGGTGAACTGACTTGTTAATTGTGTTTATTGATATGTGCAACAGGAAGAGTGGATATTGATCAGTTTCCATATAAGGATAGGATCCTTAACATCATCATGGAATACTTAACGGGTGGAATGATGTGGTTGCAGATGGTAACTGCGGATTTCGGGTCGTGGCTGATGTGTTTCAGATGGGTGAAGACAACTATGCTTTAGTGCGTCAGTTGATGTACAATGAAATTGCTGCAAACCGAGATGTTTATCGTCATGTGTACGGCGAGGAGTTGGAAAGTTCTCTTGAGCATATCCAGTGGGGAGGAGGACCTTGCGGTCAAAATCATAGGTTCGACACGCCACTTGATTTCTTTGCCATTGCAAACATCTACAAGTGTGTAGTCATGCATTTCGGGCTTGGTTTGCACAGTCGAGCTTATTTTCCATGTTGTACGGTTCTCCCTTGGTATTCGCATGCGACCGTACGTCACCAGATCGGTAAGAGAGTTTGTTATTGCATTTCTGGGGTCGTCATACAGACATTTCATCCGATTGGACCTGTCATCCGATTATCCGGTGCCACCAATCTTACCTACTTGGTACACTATTCGCAGACCAATCGTAGAGGGTTGGGATGTGTTGTACCATGACCGGAAGCGTCATTGGAACAACCTAGCTGCCTTTCAGTTTTTCATGCATATACTTTTTCTATGTAACCTTGTATTTGTATTGCTATTTTTATTCCATTTATTTCTTTTTTGTATTCTAATTTTGACTAAATTTATATCTTGCATGCATACTAATTAGTATTTGTGCGTTATAAACTAAAAAGATAATGTCAAATTTTACAAACAAAAATGATAATGTCAAATTTTACAAACAAAAATGATAATGTCAAATTTTACAAACTAATATGATAATGTACAAAATGTTCTATAAATAAATTGCCAACAGATCAGTAATCCCACGCAAGACGCCACCACTGTGGCTCTGGCGTCCTGCCCAGCCGGCCTCCACCATGGGTATGGCTCCCAGCCAGACGCCCCACCGTCAAGGTTTTTTTTTTTTTTTTTTTTTCAAGTAAAATTTACCTTGCCACCGTGTGACCATCTTTCCTCCGCCTCCGCTGTCGCCAATTCCTCGCCTTGTCGCCTCGACATTGTAGTTTGAATTTTTTTTTTTAGAGAGAGGTGATGAGAGAGTAGACGGAAGAGACAAGATGAGAGTGTGTGAGAGTTTTTTTTTTTTTTTAATTACATATAAGGGTAAAAGTGTCAATTCAACTAAAATTTATGAGCTTTACGTAGACATTTGCGGACGATGTTTATAAATCGACTAAAATCTCAACAATCTCATGTTTTATTTCCCTTGGGAGTACACTACTGATTACGGAGTATCTCGTGCATTAGTAAGGTAACTTTTAATTTCCGACTAGAGTCTTTAAACAAGGTGGATAAAGTACTCCACTTTGCATCTACGAAGACAAAGCGTTGAAGTGTTCCAGAGTTTGTACGGTTGTTACCATCTCTAATTATCTACAAAACCTTCTTATTTATTTCAATTAAACCTCTTTGCATTGATCTTCATCAAAAACCCATTCCAAAGTGAATAAACAAACTAAGGTTTAATTACTAATTTAGAAATCCAATTAGGGTTTGTTAAATTCCCTCTTTCGTATCTTCTAGATACCAATGCAACAAAGCTGAAGTAATTTGTTGCCTTCAATCCATTGGTAAAGTATCTTCCTTTAATTCTATCAATTTTTTTTTTGGATGCTTACTTTACTTCCAATATAAATTCCCAATTTTACAATTGTAGGGAATTGGTATATTGCCCCAAAGATTGAATTTTTCTGCGTTTTTGATTTTTTGGTTGATGGAATTATTATTGGTAATGTGTTAGATAATAAAGCCATGTCTCGCAAAGCTAACCATGGGTATGATTACGACGACGACGACATTTACGAAGATTATGATGAAGATTATGCATATGATTATGAAGATGATGATGATGATAATGTTCATGTAGAGCATTGTAAGTATTGTCTTGATTTTGAGTGTTTTATAGTATCTTTAATGTTTATCGCGGTGATGAGTTGGTAAATTAATGTAATTTATGGCTGATTTCGAAGTATGAAATACAATTTAAAGACTAATTATAGAATTCTAGTTGTATGGCCACATTTTTATGGAGATTTAATATTACATTGTGTATTGTAGTTATTATATGGAGAGATTTGAGATTTTCCCTGCCCCCTCTTATCCTATACTCCATCATTTATTCATTATTCTCATCTAATGTGCAATTGAAGTTTGTTTAATAGTCTAGATTACCGGTGATAATTTGTACGAAAATCAAACTATATTTATCTATCCTTGAATTTGATGTTGCAGCTGAAGTAATAGTGCATAAGGAAGCAAACAAGTCCGGGGTTTGGTGCTGTTCTGTATGTACCTATGATAACGAAGAGAGTATGACTTATTGTGAGATATGTGGTGCTCTTCGATTTCCTCCTTCTGACAGTAGCAGCAATAGCGGCAGTATTGATAAGAAAACAGGTAATGGAATTGTAAAAACTTAAAATTTTACTTTTGTGTCAGTATTTTGTTCATTTAATCAATTATACAGCCAATATAGTATTTGTTGGTTTTGTATGTATCGAGTTCATTAAGCTTAAGGATGATAAGTGGAATATTAGTTGATCTTTTCATTTATTCATCCTTTTGGGGGAAGAGGACAGGATAGTTGCAACTGCTGTGAGGGTTTGTCTATGTGGTCTATAGCTTCATGTGAACTATTTGAACTTGTACTTTAGAGTTATGGTTTATTATCTTCCTTTTGTCTATTTATTGTTTGTTTTAAGCCAATGTCACTATGCTTGACCATTAGTAAGGCTGAAGGGTTTTGGAACTTTGGCCTTTTCTTAGCTTAGATTGCCACCTTTCCAATGAAAAGATACTCTTCCATCAACCGGGGAAGGGCTAGCATATCAGCTTCATTTTTATGTGATTTTCTCACTGCTCAGCTTTGATAAGCACTAGTTTGTGCTTCAAAGTCTGTAAAATTGCCTTGCTGTAATACATGTCAGTGTCAGCATCCAGTGGCCTTCTAGTTACATTTAGGTTTCTTGTTGTGGAGTGGTTATTTATAGAATAGATCTGTTTGCTGCAGTTGGTGGCACGTGCAAAGGTTCTGGAGTATCCCAGTTGGCCAAGTCTCTTTTTGCTTCAGTGTCGTGTCGGACACCCAAAATGGCTGTAGTCTCTCATCCACAGAATTTTTGTAATTTAACTGGAGAAGGCAGTAGATGCCATGACATTAAATATGTTCAACAACATTATCATGTGTTCTCTGATGGGCAGAGTGCACCACGTAGCTCCCGCCTCACAACTATAGGTCTGCTAGAAATTCAAAAGCAAGAATGTCCTAATAGGAAATTATTTAAGATCTTTTTTTTTTTTTTTTGCACCGTGATAGTTGTCATAATTATGGAATCACTCATAATAAGGTTGCGGAGCCTTTTTACTGAATATTTTCTGATTTTACATGGTTCTTATCAGCCCCGTTCAAGTTTGATGTTCCTTCACCAGATGATATCATCTCCTTGAATACAGTTAAAAAAGGTACATAATGTTGACTGCAAGAAACTTTTTTAACATTCTAGTTTACCACTGTCGTCTCTGATCATATGCATGTGGAAGATGAGTTGTCACTTAGGCGTTAGCTGTTGCTTGTGTAGTATGTGATTTTTTTTATCCTTCTCATTTTACCCTCCTTTGCATCCTTTGCCACTGCATTTTCAGTTATTAATCAAAGCATCCTTTATTTTTTGCTTTTGCAAAACGTGTGCTTGTGTGTGTCTAAAATGCGTGTGTGTGTGTGTGTTCATACAGATTTCGGATAATGAAGATTCAAATAGAACGTTGATCGCTTAATTATGGATCAATTTACGTAACTTTGCTTGCAGTAAACTTAACTATCAGTTTCCCACTGGGATTAGTCATCAATGAGGATTTAATTTTTGACCTTGTAGAGTAACACTGGAGTATTCATTTTACAGATATGATTACAGGATCAAAATTCTTGATATTGGTTTAGTCATGGGTCCTTCTAGTAAATTTTTTGTTAAGCTAGTTCTTTATCCTCCATTTAAATAAAAAATATATATATTATTTGCAACATTTAGGGGACGTACTATTTTTAGGAGAGTAGAGAGATAGTAAAAGGGAATCAGGTTATAAGGAGATAGATAGAGAATACGTAGCCAGATTTTGTAATATTACGATAAGATGCAACTTCTAAATAAGGGGAGACCAAAAAAAAAAAAAAAACAGTGGAAGTAGTTGTTTGCTTGGTACCTGGCTGATAAGCTGATACTTTAACTCATTTTCCAAGATGTGTATCGTATGTTGTTCCAATCTGAAAAGGGATAGAAAGAAAGTGAGACTAGTTGCTTCAAATTTGCGAATTGGAGGGTAGAATTGGTGATGTTGTAAGAAAATATCTTAGGGCTTTTATCCTGCATGGTGAGTTGACTTGGACAATGTAGTCTTTGAGTTTGTCTGACCATCCGCTGGCCACTGTAGAGGGAAGTCGACAGGCAGACTGCCGTGCAAACAATTGCTAATTTTGATTTTAATAATATGTTGGGAAATATTATGACTATTGATCATGATGCAGTTTTAATCTTAATCAAATGCTGAGAAAATATTGTGTCCAGCTCCCTTATTCTTCTTACAGTGTCCCCACATCCTTATTTTTTTGTATCATTATCTGACACTTGGCTTCACACCTGTGTCAGATTTATATCCCGAAGTCCAAACAATGAACCAATAGAGTTATATCCTTGCCCCTACTTCTCTGAATTCTGAAGTCTTGCTACTAATACATTAGGGTAATTCAGTTTAGTAGGCAAGCACCAACCTGAAGTTCTATGTGAACTTCCTCGTCTGGGTTTCCAGTTTCCCTGTCCGTAGGGCCTAGGGGACAACCTACGTAGCATTGTAGCTAGTCAAAAGTCTTCTTGTATTATGTTTTTCCTTTCTTTTATGGGTACAAAGTTTAAATGTATTGAGTTAATTTATGTCTTATATATGAATTTCTAGCTATTGTAAGACTCATAATATTTAATGTTTATGAATAGTATGCTTTCTGTTATTCCTGTAAAGATCACAAGAACTTTCTTTTGGGTCTTGTATAAATTTGCGTACTGTTGTCTTAGCGCTTAACTTTATTTATTCAGGATCTGCTGGTGCACCCCCAGGTTTTCCTGCGAACAATACAGCTACAATGACACAGTCTAGTGCGAGACAAATTGATAGTTACATTGAAATTGAAAGAAGAACCACTCCAGAAGATCACAGTTTTGCCTCAACTTCAAAATCTTCAAGTAACAATGGTATGGCTGAGGGTCCATCTAGCTCTATAAGATCTGAAAAGTCCCCCGCTAGGGACCCAAAATCTAAACACAATAGCGTAGGTGGGAGTATTTCTCCAGCAAATGGAGCAGAGCCTGAGAATCTTGCTAGTGACCTAAATCATATGTCTACAGATAGTAAACCTGGTTCCTCCAAACTTGTTATTCCTAAGAAAACCCTTGCACAGTACAAACCTGAGAAGTGGATGCTACCTGACAATGAAGATGGTGTAATGGCTCAACTAAATCTTGCTATTGTAAGTATCTGATGCCAATTATTAGCTCTTTGGTTGTCATCTTGTTTAGGGAAAGATTCTATAATGCAGTTGGTGGTGCCACAGGTTGGCCATGTGGATTCTGGAAAGTCAACACTGTCAGGAAGACTCTTACACCTCTTGGGCCAAATATCTCAAAGGCAAATGCACAAATTCGAAAAAGAATCCAAACAACAGGTAAATTATTGATATGGATTAGTTTAAAGCTTTTTTCTCTGATCTTGTCTTTTTTGCCTCTCACAATTAGTCATACATTTGTGTGACCGTTTAGGGAAAAGGTTCCTTTGCCTATGCTTGGGCTCTGGATGAGAGTGCCGAAGAAAGGGAACGGGGTATAACAATGACTGTTGGTGTTGCTTATTTTGACACCAAAAAGTATCATGTGGTTGTGCTAGACTCTCCTGGACATAAAGATTTTGTCCCAAATATGATATCTGGCGCAACCCAAGCAGATGCTGCGATTCTTGTTATAGATGCCTCAGTTGGTGCATTTGAAACGGGCATGGATAATACTGGTGGGCAATCACGGGAGCATGCGCAGCTTATCAGAAGTTTTGGTGTTGATCAAATTATTGTTGCTGTTAACAAAATGGATGTAGTGGGTTACTCCAAGGAACGATTTGAATTGATCAAGCATCAAGTTGGATCATTTCTTCGTCAGTGTGGTTTCAAGGAATCTTTCATCTCATGGGTTCCTGTGAGTGCTATGGAAAATCAAAATATGGTGGCTGCAGCTTCCGATTTACGGCTAAATTCCTGGTGAGTGTAATTATCTAAATTACAGTCATAAAATCCAACCGTGTGCTTTCCATTACAAAGATGTAGGTTTTTACTTTGGTGACCAGATCTAATTGTTCAGGAACTGTAGTGGTGACCGACTTAGGCCTTTAATGTACGTGGTGTTGGTTTTCCAATTTAATAATCTTGAACTCTATTAGGCCTTGTAGTCTTCAGTTTATAGATGTTTGTATCTTATTCCTTGAAGATGTTGGAGTAAGTTATAAAATAGAGCAACATTCAGAGGGGATTTCTGAGGGGAATTATTATGTTGACAATATACTACGTATAACACTGTCATGTTCTGGAACTCCTGTGCTGCTATCTGCTTATTGATTATGATTTGTTGTGATGCTTGATATGCAGGTACAAGGGATCTCATCTTTTGGATGCAATAGATTCACTCTGCCCACCTAAGAGAGACTATGAAAAACCCCTACTCATGCCCATTTGTGATATTGTCAAGACACATTCGATGGCTCAGATATCTGCATGTGGTAAGCTGGAAGCTGGAGCCCTTCGTAATGGATGCAAGGTATATATCACTATGAGCTTTGAGAAAATGTCTTTGATATAAACACCTTGACCGGCTGTGGATAAGCTTTTACATTTTCTTTTCTTGTTTTTTCCACTTTCTTTTATATCATCCTCCTGATGGCCTACAACTCCAACTAGTGTCTGACCAAGCCATGGAATTTGACCAGTATCATACCACCCGAAAACGCGAATATTGTAGCTGAAGGCACAGATTGAAATAAACCTTGATCTAAAATTAATGGAAAATCTTAAATTGAGATTAGAGAGTTATCACCCAAAAGTCAAAATTAAAGAAGCAAAAGTATCATGTATCTGAAATGACAACCTTGATCGATAATTTAGTGGAGAATCTTGAAATGAGATTACAGAGAAAACCTTGAAAATTGCAAACAAATGCTGCAATTTGGAGAAGTTAACAAAGTAACAAAGAGATACACAAGTTAAATTAGGAGATCTTATGTAATTGGGGCAATTGTTTCTTTTTGCAGCAAGATTTTGAAGTTTTGCTGGTTTTGTGGGGTGATTTTTTCCATTTTGTTTTCTTGTATGAGTTTAGTGGTTGAGTAGCGAACGAGATATGGGAGGGGCTTCATGTTTCTAGGCGCACAATAGGATGTGTGTATTTATATATCTATGTCAATTTTTAGGACGAAAAAATGTATGCTAGAATAGCAAGATGTATCTGGGTTTTTCATGCTTTCTCTTTGGATCCCAGTATATTTCTATATATAGAATAGATTTCCCCTTTACACCATATCATAACTCTCTCTACTTGCTCATAATCGCAGTCAATATTGGAATGCAGGTTTTAGTTATGCCCGTAGGGGATATAGCAACAGTGCGCTCCATTGAGTGCAACTCCCAACCTTGTGCCGTTGCAAGAGCTGGAGAGAATGTTTCTGTTGTTCTACAGGGCATTGATGCTGCCCATGTGATCGCAGGGGGAGTGTTGTGTCATCCAGATTATCCTGTGAGAGTTGCATCTCATTTGGAGTTGAAGGTTCTTGTCTTTGATATAAAAATCCCTATTTTGATTGGTTCTCAGGTGAGCATCATTGTAGTTTATGTAATTTACCAATTACCAAAACTGTAATGGGAACTTATAGTTTAGTCCCTATGAAATGCAGTTGGAGTTTCATATCCACCATGCAAAGGAAGCGGCTAGAGTTTTGAAGATAGTGTCATTGCTTGACCCCAAAACTGGCAAGGAGAAAAAGAAAGCACCCCGCTGTCTTGTAGCAAAGCAGACTGCTATAATAGAGGTCAAATACGATTTTGCTCTGGTTTTGAGTTGTTTCGTGGATGATTTTCTTTTTGCAGTAGAGTCTTCAAGTGTTCAACATCATAAATAGTTTTTTTCCTGTCGTTTCAGGTAGCTTTACAAGACTCAATTTGTGTTGAGGATTTCACCAGCTGTAAAGCTCTTGGGCGGGTTTTCCTGCGTTCATCAGGAAGAACCATAGCAGTAGGGGTAGTGACACAAGTGATTGGCGATCAGAAATAACAGTAGTCTCTTGGTTTGTACATTGTTATATCACTAAATTCAAATATTAGATTGTAGGTCTCAGATCATAAGCACACATAGATGAAATGTGAGGGTTTTTTTGGGCAATCAGTTACAAGGAGGCGTAAGTGTACAACATTACAAAATAGTTTAAGTGTTACATACGATTGGGAAACATCCCCAGCTTTCTTGTGTATTCATCGGTTGATGATCCCTACTGTAATTCACAAGTTTAATTTATTTTCCCTTTTTATTAAGCTAATTGTAAAGAATCCCCTTCATTTATTGTGGATCAGTATCTCAATTTTTTTCTCTCTCGATAAGATTAGTGATGAAAATAAAGTTAAACAATGTTATTGAAGCATCATAGAAGGCATTGCAGTTTAATTAAGCGTGTAAACGTACTATGGAGTATGGACAATAGTTCACATTAAACTTTGACTGTTAAAATTTTAAGTGCCAATTATAACTTTATAATATCGTATGGAGTGTAATACTGAATTTATGATGAAAATAAATTGTTAATACTATTTCTTTGGTATAGAGTGATGATTTGACGCTTATTTTCTTATATGCTCCCATCGATCTGTAGCAGGTCGGGTTTAAATTCTTTTTTTTTTTTGAAACATGTTTGAGTCGACTCGGGTGTAACTTCGTACAGGATGTCATTATAAAAAAAATGACATGGAGTATGAATGTAATACTGTAATGATTTAATTACAATTAATTTAACTTCTGATACATAATTATCTGTAATATACTTCGTACAAAATTGCACCAAGACGTATTATGGAGTGGTGAGAACCTAGCCATCTTTAGTTCGGATTAAGGAGTGGCTCCCCCATGCTGTGCAGTGAAGGTGGGGGCTGCTGCCTCCCCTGGTTTTGTTTGGGAAGGATCCTCATTTTTTTTACGGGCCCGTCGAATCTTTAAAAATGGCTTCTATATACAAACTCAAAACTGTGGTTTCCTGACTATACATATAATACAAAATATGACATATAGCTAGGGTCTGACAAACCCTAGTTGTTCTACAAAATGAGAAGGGCTCCAATTTTCCTCCTTATTCCAGCATATACAAGGAATAATATGAATTCATCAGCAGCCAGTAAACTCCCAGCTTCAGTCATATAAAATCGAATTACTCCAAGAAAGCAGAACATCGCGTGCCATACTTGGCAAGTCTGCAAGTTTAGTATACCCTTAATCAACTCCAACACTTTATTCAGAATATTCAATGTTTCACACATGTCAACAGAAACCAATGGCGGATGCATGTAACCTTGATGGGGAGCACTTGCATCCCCATTTTGCCAAAAAATAATGAAATTCAAGGCTAAGTAAAATATGTACTTCTTATTCTAATAGCTTTTGCTCTCCCATTTTCAAGTTGGTTTCCTAAAACACAAAACCAAGTAATAGAAACTCTAGATATATCATATAAAAACTTAAATGTAATATTATTTCTATTATATAAATATTGCAACGTTTACACTTTTAATACTAATCACATACTCTTATCATAAGTCTTATGTAACCATATATTGTGCTTTATACGTCATGAAAATATAGTCATTTGAGATTTTGTTATCTTCACATTATTATTAAAGTTCTCTTAAGGTTTAATTTGTGCAATAAGAGATGATGTAGTTACCTAATTACCTCATGTTGCAATATCAAATGAATGCATGATGTGGGTAAACTTAGCTAAATAAAATAAGAACTAAAAAGTAAAAACATTTTGCATACATTATTAAAACTTTAATAATATCAATCGACATTTGATTTTGTAAAGAATATCCAATTTTTTTTGGTTATATTAAAGTTTAAAAAATTTTGAACCCCATTTTAAAATTTCTAGATCCGCCACTGACAAAAACTAACCTCGAGCAACTTCCACAGCAACATTCGGTACATCTACTTGATCCTCAACCAAACGATACACATCTATAAGCTGCAGCATAACAGGCCAATTATAAGAAACAGCCGAAGTTTGATAGGAGGAAAAGATATTTTAACACGATACCTCTTGTATATGAAGCTTTGAGTCTTCAGTCATAGCAAGAACAAGCTGTCTACGAATCCCCTCATCGATCAAGAACAGCCGTGTTCCGTCCTTGATGGTGTCTGTAAGGTCCAACTTGGAGATTGCTTGTTCATTCCCTTTCCTTTGACAGAAGACAAATAAGCCAGGTGACAAGTTAGAAATGAGAACCAGAGTTATTGAATCTCGGAATGGGAGAGTTTAATTAGCATGAAGTAACTAGACTAACTTGTCTCTGAGTTGCAATGCTGGAGTATTGCTCATCCTTGAAACATTCTCCTTTGCCAACACAATCAAATTTTCCAGTCGTTTCCACTGAAAAACCCCGTCTTTGAAAAGTACCTGATGCAGGGTGAAGAAGATGAGGAGGGTATTCAGAGTAAGGGCTAGCACTTGGTATATGATTCTTATATGAAACCAACAGCACTTCATTCTGAAGAGCTATTATTGGCATTCTATCATGCCTTTTAAAAAAAGTTTTATAAGGTGGTAAAGAATGGTTTTCTCGATTATTGCTATGTATTACACAGCGTCAGAATTTCAAGCTCTCAACAGGACACTAAAATAATGACAACCTAATAAGCGAATTTGACTTGTAATAAGCATGAGCAAGGAGGCGATCATCTAATTCACCTGGATAAGACGATCACGAAGAGCAGGATTTGGATCTGTAAGAAGACGCTTCGCCACATATGGGTAAGCTACCTAGATAGTTGCAAACAATAAGCATATAAAAATAAATAGTCAGAATATAAGAGTAAATCATAAATCATCTCAGAGCTTGAATAAGCTATCAGCATAAAAATAAAAAATTAATTAATTAATTAATAAAATCAAGCAAATAAACTCGTAGGAATAAATTGCCTACAATTTGTTACAGAATATAGTCAAGTCTTGGACAAACATATCAATATACGAAGGTATCATTTTATATGCAGGCTAAACTTCTGAAGCAAGTCACATGACTACCCTCTTGAGCGAGATGGGCCTAATTCCACATACACAACAGTTCAAGAAAACAGTTCATTACAGATCCTCAACCAACAATCTTGGGAATAACCAGCTATTGCCTGAGCAACAGAAAGAATAGAAAACTAGACAGGAAACAGTATTAAAGATCCGGTTCACCTGAGTTTAGACAAAGGTATCAATAAATGCATAGACATGATGGACACATGATAAAGTATACTTAGCTCTGCTCTCTTCTGGGACAGAAGACCTATAATTTATGGACCCACAAAGCATTTACTTTTCACATTAGTTTTTAAGAAGCATTTTGATTTGATTGTTTACTGAAACCCTTCTTTTACGATCAGAATGTTTAATGATAGATGTTTCCATGATTATCTCAAAAGAAACCCAAAACATATAATTCTAGTTAGGTACTTTACAGGAAATAGAGATCTCAACACAAGTGAATCACATAATCCGAGCCATCAGGCATTCAACCTAAATCTGTATGAATATGCTTCTTTGGTCAATCAACAAACAATTCTACTAGTGGGTATTTACATTTGGCTAGATACATAGCAAGTATATTGGTAAAAACTAAAAAGTAATCACCTCAAGGAATTTAAAATCCGGCTTCAGAGATAAGCATATTCCTTCTTGCGTCAATAGAGATCGGATGACAAGTGAAAACCTTTCGGGAATACGAATTGGATAGTTGTAAACAAGCTGATTGAATTTACCTGAAAGTCATGGTTTACAAATCTTCATTACACATTATCCAGAATAAAGGATTTTAGATTTTATAACTATGTCACGTCAAAACCAAACTCCATAATGTGGAAGTAATTACCAATTAGCAACACCATTTTAGTCATGATCATTTTAGCTGACTTGCAAGGCAAATTATACTCAAGAGGGTACAACAACAACATAAAGTTTTCTAGGTTCTCTCCTTCAGTTAGGTCACAACTCATATTTTAATCTCTAGTAGAATTCAAATATAATTAGAGCCCAGAAAGCAACTCTGGAGGCTCAACGAACCAAAACGTTAACTCTTTTGTGGTCTAGGCGCATTGCTTAGGGGTCATGCGCCTTTTGTGGTCTAGGCGAAGTGCTTAGGGGTCATATTATTTGTATTGCCATGAGAACACATCATGTTTCTTGTTCATATTATTTTGTATTGCCACTGTTTTAGAAACATGATGTGTTATCATGGCAATACAAATAATATGAACAAGAAATTGTTCAAGAATAAGAATAAGTTGTCATAACGTGGCAATGAAAGGCATTGACTTGAAAACAATATTTGATGTGACCAAGGTGCTAAATAGTATTTACCGATTTGTTCCTTAAGGTTAACACGACACTTCACAGTTCACACACAAGAGCAATCTAGGTCTAGGGTGGGAGTTTGGAGCCACGTGAACTTATTCCCAATATGAGAAAGGAGTAGAAGAAATGTTTTGAGAAAACATGGGAGATTATTATGTATCAATATTAAAAATAGACACTTCACAGCTCACACACAAGACCAATCTAGGTCTACGGTGGGAGTTTGGAGCCACGTGAACTTATTCCCAAATGAGAAAGGAGTAGAAGAAAAATTTTGGGAAAACATGGGAGATTATTGTGTATCAATATTAAAAAAAGATACCTCTTATGAAATCAAGGATAGTATGAGTAATGAATGTGTAATCATTGATTCACCGCAAAGGATATATATACGAGGAAGAAGTGTAACTTTTCATCACCAAAGGCGACAAGTAATGAAAATAGACTAATTATCATTAAACTGAAAGGTTAAAATTCCCAAGAAATTACAAGATAATATAATGGTATAATGCTAAAAATAAATTAAACAAAGTTGTTATGAATAATCAAGGAAGGAGAAAAGCTGAAAAGGTTTTATCACGATAGGGTGAGTTTGCTTAGTCTACTGCGCAAAGAACTTTGTAATGCCAAAAGAACTGATTTTGTTGCTTGCCTGACATGGAGAGTTTGCCTGGTCAACCAGCCTATAGTTTTTATAATCACTAAAACACTCAATGTTGTGAGTCCGTTCAGGCTGCTTTGCCCGGTAGCTTGGGCAAGACCCGGTTTCACCTTTTGCAAACTTTACTCCAACAATATGGATTATGAAGATACCTTATACCTAGAGGCTAAAGTTACCTCAGTTCAATTGTATATCACCAATTATTACATTTGTTTGCAGGGATTTTCACCACATATGTTAATTTCAAATCTCTTGGTTGAGATAGAAAGGCCAATAATCCTTTTAAGACATTACAAATTTCTGTATGGATGACAAGATGACTAATCAAGCTTACTAAAGATGACATGATTTATGTACTTATCATACAGATGAGATTGGTAAGGTGTATGGATGACAAGATGACTAATCAAGCTTACTAAAGATGACATGATTTATGTACTTATCATACGGATGAGATTGGTAAGGCACATCATGCACCAAAGAACATAAAAAGTATAGGGTTACATGCAAAACACAAAACCCACCACCACTCACTTACAGAAATCTTGATTATAATGTCTCTCTAACTCCCTTACCGATGATTATAATTCAAGCATGATCACATTACTCACATTCACATGCAATAGCAACATCAGATTAACAGCTTTATTCATCACAACATCGCTTCAAAAGTCAAGAGATAACATCATAAATATAAGCATGTCCGATAGTATAACAGTGCTCAATGAGTTATTTATTAAAGAACGTAAAATGGGAAAGGAAGTTACCAGTGACACTTCTAAAATTAAATTCTGATACCCCTTTCCCAAGAGAATTCTGCCATATGGCTTCTAATGCAGGAATAATAGGAGCCACATCAGTCCCCTTTGCCAGGAAACCAAGCCTAGTGAAATCATTTGCCATCTCAGCATAATCCTCATTCACAGCATGGACGACAGCATCTATCAATATCTGTTTATTTTGCTGAAACACGACCACAAAAATATATTAATTTATGGAAAACTCCCAAGGGAAGACCGGAAGAATATTCATACAGAAACATTACCTATTCAGGAGCAAAATGAAGCCATGAGACCCATGAACAGTATCATTTAGCACAATTTTATCCATAAGAACGCCGGGTAAAGATTTCAATAAAGTCAAACACTGAATGAGTTCATGACACGTGCCATTTAGCACAACTCTTGTGTCAAATTAGTTTTTTCTTTTCTTCCAAATATGATTGCCAAGAATTTGTTTAGATATCCTTAAGAAGGAAGAGAATAAATTTGTATTGTGACCTACTGGAAAATCCTACTCTACATGTAGCTTAATTGCTTAAATGAGAAGAAATCTTATAGCCTATGACATCACATACGTAACAGTACTGACACTAATTAAACAATTAAGGAATTCTGTGCCTCCTTTGTAACTTACTTGGCTCAGCACAGCAACATTTCCGAAGTCCACATACGCAATCCGCCCATCACGCATAGCAAATATATTTCCAGGATGAGGATCTCCATGGAACAGCCCAAACTCCAATAACTGCCGCAGGGCAGCACTAACTCCAACAGTCAAAAACCCATCCATGTCAAGGCCTGAATCCCTAACAGCCTAACGAATAATATGAACAAGTTATAAGTCAGTAAAAGAAAAGGCTTCAGCAGAAAGTAATAAGGAAAACAATTACCCCAGTATTTTCAAACCTGAGGATCAGTACATCGAATTCCGTCAATCCATTCCATCACAAGGACGCGCGAGCCAGAATACTGCTTGTAAACTTTAGGAATTTTGACAGTTGGATCATCTTTAAAATTCTCTAAAAACTCTTCAATGTTACGAGCTTCCTGTAGATTATGAGTGGAGAAGGGGAACATTATAAAGTGATACTCAGTACTATAATTGTGTCAGCTTCGGCTAATATACATATTTTAAATATGACAAACAGAAATATTTCCTCTCAAATTAATGAGCTTAAATCCTGTAAATCTTCGATAAAAAAGACAATGACATTACACTTTCTTCTTAAAGCAAGAGGAAAAGAAAGCACCTTGTATGTAATAGGAGAAAATCTTGAGCAATTAGAGCAATGTATAGCATTTAGAGAAACAGACATGGTTCATTAAGTAGCCAAAATCAATAAATCAAATCACTTATGATAGCATATTAAGGAAATCTTAGAAGAGATCTTACCAAGGTGTAATCAAGCTCTTCCAAAAGCTTCTCACCAAATTCATCAACAATCAACTCAGCATTGCAGCCTAGTTTCTGAATGCTGATGCCATTCAAAAATGATGCAAGAGTACGGAAGAGAAAAAGGTCTCGATATATTATTGGCTCTATGTTAGGCCTTTGTACCTGCAAGTGCACATTTACACGTCTCATTTAGAAGTTCTTAGATTTTGTTCCAAAATGAGATGTAAGTAGTAGAAACAGATAAGGCAGAGCCATATGAGACTTTATAGAATTGCTATGAAACTAAATTGGAAAATACTTTCCCTTGCCACGAAATATTCCTGAAACATGAGACTTCCAAGGTTCCAACAGAAAGACTAGGGTTGAAGAAAGGGGGCAATTTGCTACATTTTTCAGAAAAAAAATATTCAATTAAAACTGCACAAGTTAAAGTACAAGAGAAAATGGAGCAATTCCTTGATCACTTTTTCTCTTTGTTCTTGCAATAACTACTTGGCTAAGAGGAAAAGTTTCGGTAAAAGTATAATATTTATACATGAAATAACAGGAAAGGAACACAATTGGAATTAGAATTTCTTAGTAATACAGTGATTGGACTCAAGACGGCTACAAAAATGAGCAAGAACCCATTAACAGATAAATTTTGTAATAATTTTGGAGCCAACCATCTTTTTTCCAAATGTATATGAAGATTAAAAAGGAAAAGATTGTCTAATAGTTTCCCCAAGATTTTTTTTTAAAAAAAATCACTATTTGAAGAAACAAGCTTGTGGACAAGTTGCTTCCTTTTTTTTCCTCTTTGATGCCTCTACGACTACTTGACCAAGAGCAAAATTTTCTATCAAAGTTATAAGAAATTGATAGTCAACAAAAAAGAAAAAAACAATATTTCTATACGATATTGGAGAAAGAGTCTCCAGCTGGATTCACGAATGTTATTAGACATATCTGCGCTCTCTCCATAACTAATTTAAAAAGATTAAAAAAATAATAATAAAAAATAAAATAAAATAAAAATAAAAAAAAAAAACTGCTTGCTTCTCTAATAAAGTCCTACTGTGACGCCCCCCCCCCCCCCGGCGGGCTTCGGGATGATCTAGAAAGGCATTAACAACTCTCATAAAATAGGATAATCAACAGTCTATATTATTTCTACTAAAGACAGGAAAATTAAAGACATTGGATGTACCTTAATAGCTACGTCTTCCCCAGTGGCACGAAGGGTGGCTCGATAAACTTGACCCAAACTTGCAGCTGCTATTGTCTGTGATGAAATCTTGCTGAATATGGCCTCAAGGGGCTGCCCTAGATCCTCTTCTATGATTTTGAAGGCAACCTATCAGCATTGCCAAATAATTTTCAGCTTTTGACTATCATAAAGCAAATCTATTAACTATATTACTAAAACAAAACATTGCTGACATCATCTCTCCTCAAAACTGTATACGTGTCGCTTTCTTATGAAATTTTTTCCCACCTAAAACCATTGATGATGTCATTTTTTTGTGATAGTTTTTTTTTTTTTTTCCTGAATGGATTTTTTTCCCCTTTTGTGTGATACTTTGTAAACAAGCTAATTAAGTTATTTCAACAACTTTAATCTAGAAAACCGAAGTATAGTAAATTGAATAACAACTGTATTCCTTTCTTTTAATTTAAAGATCTATCATTCCCTCTTCTCAATTCCTTAACACTAATATTCAAACGTCCAGAAAATTCCTTAAAAATATTCAAACTGTATTTCTTTTAAGAAATCTCCTTCCAATGAATTTATGACAAAATTGAAAAGATTCATTGTATATACGAGTTCTACACTATAATTTTTTTTTTAGTTAAACCGTGCATCGCTCGGGGATAATCTAGTGAATAAACAATGTCTATCTAGCCATATGGAGCACGCTTACCTGATTAGGAAATGGTGGAACATCATCTTGCAAAATACACAGTTCGTTCATGTAATCTTCTCTGATTATATCAGGTCTGCTAGCAAGAACCTATCATCAATGTCAGCCAACAACAAAAGCAGCTAATAAGACAAAGAACTACGATTACCAGCTGAGAAACCACTTAACTGTGATTATAATTAGAACCAAATAGTCAGTGATTCAACAAGGAAATGTCAATATCTATAGGCTCTGCTTGAAAGTTCAATGTTTAATTCCTATTCTACTTCTTTATCGAATATCTGAATGAAGGGTTGGATGAGGAAAAATCTGCATGCCATTCATCATTCGCAGAAGTTTTGTAAATGAAAGCTGGCAACAATATGAGAGTAATTCAATGAAGTAATGAACAGGGGCCTAAAAACACAAAATTAATTGGATAAAGATTTAGCCAAAAAAACTGATCTTCCTTGTATTCATAAACCCTTAAGTCTACATTTTGTGGCCTTATAACAAGTTATCATAGCCTATCAGCATCCCAAGATGGAGCTAATCCCCTGAAATTAGATAACCACCACTTCAAAGAGATTAGGTTTAGCTGAGATTAGGTTTAGCAAGCCAACCTATATCCTCATGGAAAAAATTTGACTTCGATTCAGTATATACTAGCTATTTATGCAGCCATAAGGTTTAGGTATTGTTAAATTAACTGAAAAAACTCATTTCACAGGCAATAACACAATCAATTCATCTACTCCAACATCACATCTAGAAATTATTCCTTAATATATACTGCAACTTTTGAACTTAAAAGTCCAGAAATGAAAAGGACTAGGTCTAAACAACTAAGAAATTTCAATACCGAAAGTTCACTAACCTGCCCAGCTTTAATAAAGGATGGCCCTAAGTCACATAACAGATTCCTCAGCTGCCTTGCTCGATATGGCACAACTTCCTCATCTCTACCAACAAAAAAATCATATGATAATGTAGCCCAGTATAGGCCTAAGTTCCACACTATCTCAACACCACGTTCAACCAAGGACAAAATTGCGCCTCTGGATTCCAACACCTTACTCCTCACCTAACAATTAAGGCAAAAAAAAGCCGTCAATTTTACCAATTTACCAGCAATACAAAATTAGATCAAGCAATCAGACCATGATACCCATTATGCTAATTTACACCAGGAATGTACTTTGTATGCGGGTTTTTCATCTTATATGCATTGAAACTTCAATATCACCTTTAAGCAAACCAAACCCGGCTTTAAACTACTAATTTAGTTCGTCGACATGCCCCTGAAATTTAGCCGTAAATTCATGCAAGACTGCAAGAGAGTACTACATGCCTACATCAAGTCATCAACTACATAACAAAATTCACATAATCCTATTCTCATTCCTTAGGGAAAATGTACAGGTTGAAGACAGATAATGCATTAGTATTAATAACACAAACAACTAAAACAAGTACCAAAATTTAATCAGAAAATGTAAGCAACTAGATCATATAACTCTTTCAGTACTTAGGGTCTGTTCGTTATCGTTACGAGTTTTCAATTTTCAATAATTTTTTATGTTCTGTTTGATTGCGCAGGTTTGCCAATGAACACGAAAACAATACCCAGTAACTAAATTCACTGAAACCCACAAACCAAATTCACCAAACTATCAAAAATCAAAAAATAAATAGCTCAAAAAACAACACTTAAGTTAAAAATTCAGCATAATACCGCCTCAGGCGTATACTTGCGAAATGGTACACAAACACCACGTTCAATATCAAGCTGATCCAAGGCACTATTTCCACCATTTTTATCACTATTCTTGCTAAGTTGCAATGCATTTGCTCTAATAACTAGTGATTTTGATGGGGTTTTAAAAGAAATGAATTGGGTATTGAATTTTGACTTGAAATTTACTGATTTTGAGAAAAGGGGTGAAGGGAGTGAAATTGAGAGAGATGGGGGTGAATTAATTGTACAATTTGGGGAAATAAATTCCATGATAAATAAATTAAAAAGCTCAAATCAACATCAAAAAATCAAAATCAATAAAAACCCATGAAAAAGGAGAGAGAAATTGGATTAAATTAAGTAGTTTGCGAAGTGAAATTAATGAAATTTAGTACTTTGTGATGAGCTGTGAATGTAAGTTATGATGAATGTGTGATGAATAAACAACCACGAAAAAAAGGAGGGTAATTTAGAAACGTTACGAAAAAAGAGTGGATTACGGAAGTTGGAGATAGCCTGATAGAGTGATAGTTGATCCTCTTTGTCGCGCAGTTGTTTCAAGGTGCAATTTGCAACATGTTTGTTTGTAATGTTCTGGTGTTTACTAGACACTCAGTTTTAACAAAAACTTTGACCATTACTCTCCAAATAGTATTTTTATCCCACCAATCTTCTCTCTCGTCAACTTTACACAACCTAAACTTAATAAAGTGAACCTATTTTTATGAGCAAACAAAAGAGGACAAAAGAGAGTAGCATGTTGAAATGTTAGTTTATCAGTGGAAAATCATGGATATTTATTACGGAGTAGGTAAATACAAACAAACCAAATAGAAAGGTGGATGCGTATCTATGCAATAAAAAAAAACCCTAGCCTCCTCTCTCTGTTCTCTCTCCTAAACTCTAACCTCCATTGTTAATTTTGAAGGGGCTTCCATCGGATTTCACCGGTGAAAAGCCCCAATCTTTAATTCTTTTAAGCTTTTTGTTTCTTAGGTTATAATAATGCCTCCATCGAAAAAGGGTCTATCTTGTTCGAAAAATAAGGTTTTTTCTATCTCCTTCGAAAGACAAGGTTTTTCGAACTCTTTCGAAAGACAAAGTTTTATTTGTGTTTAATTTGGTCTTCAGTGCGGGGCTACAATTGATTATGGCTTGGGTTCGGGTTACGAAATCATCGCAAGAATCTTCTTTCTCACAAAATTGCAAAGCAACGACGAATCCACTCAAAAAGTTGTATGAGACAACGAATCAAGAATGTGCCGAATTGTTATATTTTTGTATATGGATTCTTGGGCCTTTTCCGATTAATTTTTTTTTTATTTTGTTAAATTTGTTTTCATTATCATTAATTGTCTAACTGTAGATGCCGTATGGCTTCAATTAATGAAATTTAGTGTCTTTTAGGACTTCTTTCAGAAGAAAGAAAAAAAAAAAAAAAAAAGACGGATTCTATTTTGAGGCATATTCCACACTACATAAAGTGCTATCGAGCAAACAAAAGGGGACAAAGGGAGTAGTATATTATTGAATTGTTAGGTCATCAATGAAAAATCAGGGATATTTATTTAGGTAAACACGCACAAATCAAATAGAAAGGCAGATTCTATTTTGAGGCATACTCCACACTACATAAATGCCCAAGGGTAAGGGGAGGGGATTTGTCATTGATGAGAATTAAACCTCGCATCCCCCCCCCCCCCCACCCCTCTTCTCCTTTCCTTGCGTCCTATCTTTGTACATTGGTTTTTTTTCACCTACTGCGGTAAAAGTTCTCTGCACTTAAAAAACTGAAAAAATGCTGAAGAACAAGAACTGTGTAGAAGCAACCGTTCCTAAAAGTTAAGCAAACATCAAATATTAACATCAAGGACACCCTCAGTTTAGGGAAACAACATGACAGTGATATACAAGGTATAGGAAATAAATAGTAAAAAGTGCAACAAGCTTGGGATTCTAGGTTCTGACTTCAGAGTCCAAATTTTGCTAAACTACTAACAAAACGCAAAATCAAAATAGCCAACCATTCATCATATACGCCTAACAAATTCACAAAGATGGATAATACATAACGATCAATTTTACCAACTCATAGGAGATTAGAACATAAAGATGGCTGGTTCAATTTAGCAAGTTCCTGTACCCAGAAAACAGGAGATACACAAACCCTAAATGTACCTACTCCCCATAATTAACCCTACAAATTAAATCTAAGAGCCCTTGACGGCAGTTGCATCATCTGTTGATAAATCATCTTCGTCATGGTATATGTTCTCAGCCATCTGCCATATTTGAAGAATGTTATCCTCGGCAACACTAGCAACAACCCAATCTTCACACGGATTCCATGAGAAGTCGGAGATTTTGCTGGTATGGCCTCCATGAATGAAGAGCAACTCCGGCGGACCATCTTCAGCATCCTCTGGGGTTTGCTCTTCGTCAATTCTGCGAATACGGAAAAAATTAAAGCAGAATTAGATAAAACTAAAGTGTTACCTTAACAGTAAGGAGCAGCAACTGCACTGACTCCTCAGACATCATACGAGAGAATGCGTCACTTGATATTCATGTAGATTTCCTTCTCACCAAATTAACATACATTTTATTGCTCATTTAAACCATATGCTTTAGCAAACTTATTTGCAGTTATTTCATATGCATTTTTAGAAACAAACAAAAACATTAGCAAGTAGAATTGACTGGGCATTTCTTTTTATTTTATTTAAAGCTAATGCATGCACATCCTTTCACTCATTGCTACACGCAAATGTAACAAAAGATAGTTTTACAAAAATTAATTCTACAGAACACCAAACATATTATTCCTTGGTGATGAAAATCCCATACATGCAAACAAAAGATAGGCACTGGCCTTACTGCAGCAGTGCAGCTCCAGTACTCCAACGCAAGGACAATCAAATGACTAAATGAGCCCTCTGTACAAGGTAAGTGAGCCTCACTCGGGCTAGCCAATTTGATTACTTTTAAAAGTGGAATGCTATTTAGTTTTTATGTTATCTTCCCCTTGTCAAAGAAAATAAAAATAAAAAATCTTTCGAACTCCAAGAGACGTGCAATACAGCCCGCTAACACATAAATGGACTGCAACTAATGCATTCGGAATTTCGAACTCAAGACAAGTCTGCGATTGATATAAAATCATTCAATGATGTGACAAGAGACATGCAATACAGCCCCCTACCATTTCTGGCAGCTAACTGCCTATTGCATAACTAAGCAAGTCAACAGAATTAACTTGTTTGGTGTTGTCCCGCGATTATTGATTAAAATCACAATTGACACTTCAAATTCTGATTATATCTACTATTTACTTGCCCTAATAGACATTTAACATCACAAATTGGAATTACAAAGTACTCGCCAAAAACTGATTATTCCTTTAGACTATGAAGTATGCACTAACAAAGCAAGAGAAGACATGCAAAAGAACCACACAAACAAACAACAGTTACCTGCTGAGATCCCACACCATCAGTCTCCTACCAAGACAACACGAAGCCAAGATAGTCTCATTTTTAGGACTCCACCCAACTTGGAAGACCTCCTCCCTGCCACATCGTACACATTTCACAATTAGACGCCAAGTAGCAGAGCAATGCCTCAATAAATCATTGTATGAGACTTCAAGTTCTCTGATAAAGGGAAACAAATAGGACAGATTTGTTCATTCTTACTTGTGACAATCAAAAGTATGCAGTGCAGTGTTGAGTTTCCTTAGATCAAACAACTTGACAGTCTTATCAGTTGAACCCGTAGCCACAACCCATTCATTAAAGGGATTAAAAGCCAAGCAATTCACCTGACAGGTTGAAAATAAAATCATGTGAATAAGTATAACTACCAGAGAAGACATATAACTTAATTCCAGAGAGGACAAAACAGCCTTTAGAAAAGGGGACTGCTTCAAGAACAAAATCACACACCAACAATTTTTTTAGCCTAACACAAAAGATAGCTTCTGAATTCCATGAACAATGAAAACAACCCAACACAATGAACATTCTTACATACACATACCTATTTTCATACATTTTGAAAATCATTAAACAAAGCGCCAGGCTTTTATTTTTAATTTTTTTTGGGTGGGGTGGGGGCAGGTTGAGGGCCTGACCACAGTACAAAAGATCAACAATATGAGTCAGGCAACCATTAGGAGCAGCCACTATTGCCTAAATAAGTGGAATAGTATAGAATAATTTACTATATTGCTATTTAAGATTATCTGTGCTAATAAAAGAGTGATTTGGCTCGCCTCAATGGCAAATTAGGTTTAAAAACATATCCATATGTTTTTCTATCTAACCCAATTTACAGATGATTTTCTAACATCAGAATTCCACATATTTTATGTATTGTTTTTTCAATAATTACAGATGATTTTCTAACATCAGAATTCCACATATTTTATGTATTGTTTTTTCAATATACAAGTAACGTCAAGTATCATGTATTTAAGGTTTAGTCCTAATTTGACAGTTAACCGGAAATAAAATTAAATTACTTGTACTTTTAATAAAATTTCATATAGTTAAATTTTAAAACCAGTATATTTGGGTCTTTGCTGTCATAGCAATTATGTTTTCCTTTCTACTCCTATGTTTCAAAAGGATATTTCTTTACCAACTACGTCATTCCAAGAGCTGAGAATCAAAGTAATACGAGTCAGATAGTTTAATTTGGGAATTATGACCTTGTAGCCAATTAAATTACTTGTACTTTTAATAAAATTTCATATAGTTAAATTTTAAAACCAGTATATTTGGGTCTTTGCTGTCATAGCAATTATGTTTTCCTTTCTACTCCTATGTTTCAAAAGGATATTTCTTTACCAACTACGTCATTCCAAGAGCTGAGAATCAAAGTAATACGAGTCAGATAGTTTAATTTGGGAATTATGACCTTGTAGCCAAAAGAGAAAGTGAGATCTGTGTTTAAAGGAGAAATTATGATGGCTATATATGTAGGCAATTTAAAAATCTTAGACCAATAATCAATATAGGGGGAGAAGAGTGCAGAAGAAACCTTTAATTAAACCAAAGCCACTCATAACAATATTCTGATAATAAAATTGTCTGCAACCCCGATAACAATAATGGCTCACCTCACTTTGATGTGCAATAACAGACTGGACAGGCTTGGTAACTGATGGAGCTCGAAGGTCCCATATAAGAAGATACTGATCATCTCCGACGGAACCAAATAAGTATTCATGTCTCAAATGCCATGAAACATCTTCAACAACACCTTCATGAACCTACATATGCAGATCACGATCATCATGATGTTTTATCCAAAAAAAAAGGAAAATTAAAGTGCGCCATAAAACATCACTAAGATGATAAACACACCCCTTTAGTGCATTTTTGTTTTCATCTGAGATACTGTAATTTACAACATTTGGTACATATTAACCAAAAAATGAGAAAGTTAACAATAATTACAGATTCACAGGTAATATTTGGCCATCTTAAGTGAAAGAATATTTACGGATGCTAAGAATTTAAATCTGTGAATCGCAGAATTTGCACAAGCAGATGAATACACACGAAGCAATTTTTAGTGTCTGACAAAAAGATATACCTTAAATATTTGCATAGCATCCAGATTTTTGTTTCTAGGAGTTGCATTTATGTCCCAAAGACAAATCTGAGCATCATCAGAACCACTCAATAAATGGCCCTGCTTAAATTTACTCCACGACAAACCATAACCTTCAGTGCTGTGGCCACGTAACCTCAAATCAGGGTTACATGCACCATCTAGTGGTGGCTTTGATGGATGTTTACTGTAGTCGAATATATATACTTCTGCACTCACTGTTTTGGTGGCAATTATGAATGGATTCTGAGGCATATAGCGGGCCCGATTAACCTCTCCATCATGGTTTATCTGCTGTATAATTTGTACCTAAAAGCACAGATAGAAGCATATTAAAGTAGCACAGATAATAAAACCTTAACTCCCAAGTTAGCTCTATTAAAGGCAAACAATATACCAGTCTTCATCAGTAGGGATACGGCTATGTACAACATGATATTTTAAAAGCTCATTAAGAAATGAGTATCATGCATTCATGCAAATTGATCAATGAGTTTATAATACTATACAAAAACGTTCATAAGAAGTAGCATTGTACTATAATTACTAGAAGATGGAAAGACATGACATTTAAACATGGCTAATACGAGACCATAAAAGAGCACTAAAGTCCAATAAATACTTTATCCAACAGAGTTGATCAAAATATTGAGGTCCTTTAAGCAAACAGGGATTTAAGCATTTTTCTAACAGAGAAAAGCAACAACATCCAAACCTTGCAAGGTTAGCAAATCAAGAAAAAAGCATGTTGCCACATTGCAGTAGTTCAACAACAAATTTTAAAAATAAAGTTGGGGCTAAAACAAACATTCACAGCAAAATACTCCGTATTAAGGAAATATATTAATAAATAAATAAGTAGCCTTCTTTAAGTTCTTAACTCCAACCATATCAAGTACTTAGTTCACCATAACAGCAACAAGCGAGTGTTAAACCTGGCACATTTGGTTGTGTCACCAACTCAAGATAATGAAGTAATTTGATTCCAAAATGCCTTCTACATTTCCTTATTATTGTTCTTATATACACAATTACAAATTTCCTGTGCATTCAGATTCAGCATGTTATCTGAGCTTCCACACTTTCAGTAAGCAATTAGGCACTTTCTAAAAACACCGAATATCCACCCCGAGCATGAACACATGATTTAGAGCCTTGGGAGGTTGGGACCAATAGGGTATAGTATCATGGGGCAAACTAACAAGGTCAGACCTTAAGTAACAGATAAGGGTCTAATATTATCGGGTGGATCGAGTAATTCCAGCAGAATTGACAAAAAGTTGAAACTACAACCATCGCTATCAATAAATGAAACTAACTTTTGACCCTAGCAGTCACCAATAAATGAGCCACCATTTTCCTGGGATCAATACAATATCTAATTGAGAACAAGATACTCGTGATCCACGAGCATTTGGCAGGCCCTTCATGGCTTCATGCATTTATGGGCCTTTATAGCCTGTGGGCATTGCAAAAACATAAAGCTAGGAGCCAACGTGAATGATAGTAGATAAACCAACTAGGCACGGTAAGCATACAATCATTCCTTAAATCCGGATGTGAAACTTATTTTTCAATATACCACTCTGCTCCATATTACTTGCAACATACCCCTTGGCCCCACACTTTATGAAGGAGAATTTATGGTGTAAATGAGCAAATTAATCAAAATAATTTTAGCAACGATAACTTATAGGTACCTAGTGCCTGTGTTTAAATTATTTTGATTAATTTGCTCGTTTAAACAATCAAATCTCATTCTTAAAATGTGTTCCATAAGGGTATGTTGCAGGTGATATGGAGCGATGAAAGTATCTGCTTGTGCACGTTGATTAGGTATAAATCTTTTTATACCTTACATGTAATATCAAATCAATATTTCAATTCAATAACTCCACACAAAGAATGACACAAATGTAAGCAAATGCCAATGAAAAAACAAAAATCCAAACATGTACAAAGTAAATAAATAAAATGAACCAAGAAGAAAAGGATACCTTTCCATTGGCACACCCAAATCCACCCATATCAGACCGTTCATCATCATAATGCCGGGCATCATTCTCAGCATCTTCAAGAGGGAGCTGAACCTGAGCCAACATAAGATAATTCGGCTCATTCTCAGAAGTATGGGTTCCCAGAATCATCTTCTGCACCGAGTAATCCTTCCCGGGAGGCTCATCTCGATCAGGGAGCCACTCAACAGTAAGAGACGGCCATTCAAGTGCGTGAGTGATCACCAAATCATACAAAAACGGGGTATTCTTCTTCCATATCTTGTACTCCTCATTTATCAACCTCTCTTCAATCTCCCCTCTCATCTCTTCCTCGTCCTTCCCCATCAGAAACCCTTGTCTACCCAAAAACCCTAAAAACAACAAAATTCAAACTTTCAGCAAAAAAAACCCCAATTTTCAACTTCTCATCAACAAATCTCTGTTTTCTACAAAATCACTCACCTTTTTCCAATTAAATTAAAAATTGAAACAATTCAGTCTTCACACTACAATTCCTGAAACCCTTTACCCTAAAAAAACAGAATCAAAATTACAAAATCAAAATCAGACCACAAATCCACATATTCATATCAAATTAAATTCAAAAACCAATTCACAAAATACCCACAACATTAGCAAAAATGGCAGAATTTTTACCCTAAAAAAAGAAAGTTCAGTAATGAAATTAAAATGCAAATTACAGTTATGTTACAAGATCAAGTTACAGAAAATCGAAAACAAAGAAGTAGATAGTGAATTAGTCACCTGATGAGAGAGAAAGAAACGGCAACTACGGTGGCGGGAGCGGCGAGGAGAGAGAGAATGGAGGGAGATGAGAGAGAGAGAGAGAGAGAGGTTACGGAAGAGTGAGGTATTAGAAGAAGCGGGAAATCCTAGTGTAAAAGAAGAGGGCTTTAAGGTTATGGCTTAAGGGTTGGGTCATGGATGGGTGATTTGATCTAAACCACAATTTACTCGATCGCCTTTTGAAAACCAACTATTCATTTTTTGCTTCGCGATAATAACAAAGGGCGTGTTCGACAATATATTTTGGAGTAGCTTCTATTATTTTGTTTGTGTTATGATAGAGCACGGTTAAAAACTAGTTGATTTAAATAATAGTGTTTGACAAGGTAGTGGTGGATAGTAGTTTTAGTTTTTTAAAGGAGTGGACTTGGAAACAAATAAGGTATGTAAAGATATAGGAAAATTTAGTAATTACAGCCGTATAAAGTTTGTATTTTGCAAATTGTAGCCATTTTTAAAAAAAATTACAAATTGTAGCCAAAAGTACTAATAACTTGTTAATCACCACCCAAATCAATTTTTTCCTCGATTAGTGTTATGAAAAGTGTTATATAAAGGTTTTTGGGGTCATTTTAGCATAAGGAAACACATCAACAAGAGGATGAATAGAAACTTCACTACACAAGTGAGTTAAAACAAAAGTGAACTACATAAGGGATGACATGTGAGACAATGATAAGGTGTTTGTTGTATGTCTTAAATTATTTTAGACTTCATGATCACGGTGGGAAGGTGGCGCAGAAGAGAGGCTATTAATGGTCTCATGATATCAAATCCTACATCTAATAAACAACAAATATGCATCAACATAATGAGGTACACAAGGAGGGTAAAGGAACTTTCTAGCTTACTAATACTTTTGATCAATTGATAATAGCCAACAACAACAATAAAAGTTAATAGAATATTATCAGAAAATATAGGAAAATTGCAAATTGGGAGGGATATAATCTCCATTATTTTTAATTAAAATGAATGTACGTGATATTCGGCCGGCTTAGTCACCAATATTTGGGTCAATTACCCGCACTTCTAGTTTAGGTTTTTAATTATTCAAAGAAACTTATCCCAACTCTAATATTACAATTCGACTACTGTAATACCCCATATTTTTATACGTACTTTAAATTTAAATAAATTTTTCTTGAAATATTTAAATAATTCGAAATGAATTATTTAGGGTTTTCTTCAATTCAAAAAGAATGATTTTAATTAAAAGTATATTTTATCATTTAATAATCTTGAAAATATTTTATTTCATGATTTAAAAATATTGGGGCATATTATTTTATAAAAGATAATTTTTTTAAAAAGTCAAAGTTTTAGAGAAAGTAAAAATTCTAGTTTGAGTAGGAAAGAGACTATTAAGGGAAGTAAGTAGGAGGTTATGAGAGAGGGTATAAATATCCGCCTAAGGTGGAATACACCCAAAGGTAAATTCTCTCTCTCCTCTTATTTTATTTTTCCCCTTTCCTTTAATTTTAATTTATGTTATTTATTTTTAATCACCACCACACGCTGCCAGCCACCACCACACGCTGTCGGACAGCTGTCGCTGCCCCCAGCAGGCGCCGGCGAACAGCATCGGCACCACCAACAAGCGCAGCAGCATCTGGATGTGGTGTCGGTGCTGCAGTGCCGGAAAAAAAAATAAAAAAAAATAAAAAAAACTTCTCTTGATTTCTATCTACCCTAATTTAATTATTGTTTTTGGGTTTGCGATGATTTTAGGATGTTTAATAATAAGTATTTTTGTATTTTAATTTTCAGATTTAATCCTAAATTAAAAAGCCCCAAATTAAAAACCCTAGGTTTTTTAATTAATGTTTGTTGATGGGATTTGGTTGTGGGTAATCTAAATTATTGAAATAGGTGTTTTAAAACTTAATTACAGCAATTTAAGATGTTTTAATAATGCTGGAATTTTTTTTATATAAAAACAAAATTATGGGTTTTGAAGGGATTTTTAATTACCCATTTAATTGGGAATAAAGTAAGGGTTTAAAATAAAATTTCAGCTTATTTTAAAGGGTCTATGAGCGATTTAAAGAGAATATATACTGCTGAATTTTTTGTGTTAGAGAGGTATTAATACTTCTTTATAATTTTGATTTGTAGAATATTTTCAAGTGAGTAATTTTATTTAATCGTGGCGATTTTAATTTGAGATCATATTTAAGGTACGTTCGCGTACTTGGTAATGTTTAAGTGTGTAGAGACATGTTAGGCTTTGTTTAATTAATTCCAAGTAGTATCATGATAGGTGTTGGTTGGAATTTGTTAATTGGATTGTTGTTGGTGAATAATTTATGATGTAGGAATTATTTATGGTGAATTGGTGATTGGAATTAATTATATTGACATGTTGGATATGAACCACACTTTTATTATTGGCATGTTAGAGAGCTTGTTTAATTAAACTAAATGTTTAATTTGGTGTGGAATATGAAAAAGGAATTTTATTATGATTCATATAATTTTTAATGATGCTATAAGCATGAGAAATGAGCTATATAAGTGTCTTAGTATACGGGAATACATTTTGTTGTGGTGCCTAGGTGCACTTAAGGTGTTTCTAACACCGAGGGATAGGATTTGCGGTGCCTTATGCACTTAAGGTGTTATTTAACACCGAGGTAGTTAAAAAGGATTCCACACTAGCTAAATTATGTGGTCACTAAATATTCAAGAATTAAATTGGTTTGTTTGATTGCTTGAATGAATTGTAATGTTTGGGTGTGTTGTGTTTGAAAGTCATCACCAAGTCTAATAATTTGTAAATAACGTAAAGTGAAAGAGATTACACACCAAACTCTTGGAACGTATATACCTTGAGTATGAACATATGGGGGGAGTTATGGGGTTTTATATTTAACCAAAACTTCTACTGGGAGTACAAGACGCTGTATTTTCCTTTCTATTATTTATTATCCGTAGGACGTCCAGTCACTTCATGTGACATTTGCTTACCCAGTTAGCTCCCGGTGTAGTTTACCTCAACTTATTTAAGGCAGGGTTTTAGTGGGAAACCCGTTCGATGTGTAATCAAAATTAAATGAACGTTGGTATTGGTCTACTTAGGTGTTGAAAATTTGTATGCTTGTAAGCAGGTGCAACATGGTGAGTTGTGTGATGATAGGATGAAAGCATGTTAGTGTGTTTTTATTACGCTTATGTACTCAGCATTGCTGATTGTGTGTAATTGTGTGTTTGTTTGGCCTTGTCTTTACCTTGGCCCTACAACGACCCATTTCTAATAGCGAGTAGTGGTGTCAAGTAGAGAGAAGCTTTTCAGGTGATGAAGCATAATCATGAAGGGGCATGAGTGAAGAGTGAATCATGCTTAGTTCTCATTGGAATATGATGTGTTTATTTGCTTTAAATTATTATTTATTTATATTGATCATGAGACTAACGCAAAGGTTTTTAAATATTTTGTGTTAAGGGCCTATAATGGTTCCAAGTTGTAGGTTGACTTCGTTTGACTTTGTTTGACTTACTTTCATTTGGTTTGACGTTTTTTAAAGTCGACTTAATTTTTAAATAATTTTTAAGATAGTCTTCCGTTGTGAGAGTCTTTGATAATAGCCTTAGCCGTTATTACGGTGGCAGTAATGTCTTAGATATTCGTTCTTTGTATTTTAAAAAGGGTAAAATTAGGTTTTAATGGAAAGGAGTTTCTAGGGTGTTACAACTACTCACGTTTTGGATCAATTTTTTCGACGACTTTTAGGCCAATGTTCGTTCAACCCTATCTTAATTAAAGCTATCACATATCACTTGAACATGTAGAAGTTCATCACAAATAGTTAAACCTTTATATGTTTATACGGATGTCAACTATGACTATTTTTTTCCCATGTCTATTCTCTAAATTGATCATTTCTTTTTTATACATCCTTTGTTCCTTTCAATAGGATGTTTCACAAATATTGTAACATGTTCACTTTAGGTAAATACATATGTTTTTTTTTTTAATGCAAATATCTAATATACCCATAATTTTAAATCCTTGTTGCTTTAGTTAATGTTTGAAGTCACATGGATAAGTTTGTAATTTAATCTTTCTATTTTCCCTTTCCCACTTTCTAAAATATTATGCAATCTCTTTATGTTGCAATATTGAAAGAACATAAGTTGTATACATGTACCTTTTTAATTTTGTATGCTCCCTTTATGTTTTTTTAAGTGTTAAAACTTTAAACGACTAAGAGGCAAGTAGGTTAGTTGGAGTATTTAAAAGTTGTAAAAGAAAGATAGTAGGGTTAAATTTTTTTATTGAAAAGTAATGAATGTGAGAGGAAATAAATCTTTAGCCATATCCCTACCTTTTTAAAAGTATGAGTAAACTCTTATGAATAGTGTTGAGATGATTATGTCCTTAAAATGTTTATTTGTATATGTGCCCTCATTAACATTAATTGTTTTTATTTTAACTCTTAAAAATAGTATGTAGGCATTTATACCCCTAAAAATATTTGTTTACTTATATTCCCTAATAACTCTACTAACAACTCCAAACCAAAAGAACTTCCGGACATGGCTAGCCATGACGTGCGCATAGCACGCGTTAGCCAACCGAGTATACCTTAAAAAAGTACAAGATTACTCTTATGAATAGTGTGCTACTAATTATATCATTTAAAATGTGCATTTACATGTTGCGTGCGTTAGCCACCCGAGTATACTTTATAAAAAGTACAAGATTACTCTTATGAATAGTGTGCTACCAATTATATCCTTTAAAATCAGCATTTACATGTTTACCCTAATTCATATGTACAAGTTTTTATTTTGCCTTCATCAATGTTGACTTATTTTGTTTTTGTCCTTGTTAATATTAATTGTCTTTCTTTAGAAAAATATAGAATAATGTAAGGACATTTACAACCCTAAAAATATTTGTTTACAAATTTTTCCTTTATTTAATTTAACCAACAACTGAAAAATCTCTGTTAAAAAAAAACAACTGAAAAACCTCCTTAACAATACCTTATTAAAATTTTAAGATAACTCTTATGAATAGTGTTTGGACTACACCCCTTAAAAGTTTGTGTACTTTTACTTTTTAGAAAGTTTGAGATAACTCTTATGAATAATATTTGAAAAACTATACTCTTAAAAAAGTTTGTTTACTTATTTGTCCTCATTCTTATTAATATTTTTTTATTTTAAACTCTTAAGTTAAGTATACGGACATTTATACCACTACTAGTTGGTATAAAATTTTCTTCCAACCCCGATAATTTTTTTTGAAGGCTTCCAATCCCGATAATTTGATAAAACGACAACACAAAATGGACCCGACTTTTGACCCGATCATTTTTTTCTTTTACAAGGTGTATTATTTATGGCTAGACTCTAGTTTAGCCATTTATCCCTACACCCCCCCTAAACGACGCCGTACCACTAACTTCCAGTAACTTCCCTCTAAAACTGCCAGTAACTTCCCACTACCCCACCCATATATATATAATTAAAAAAAAAAACTTTTCAAATAATCACATTTTTCTTTCTCATCCTCTTTCTCCAATTTCTCACTCAACCTCCATTTTCTCTCTCTACTCCATTTTCGTACATGCAATTAGCAAATAAAATTGTCTAAAATGTCCGACATAAGAGACGAAATTGCACAATCTCGACAAATTTCAACAACAACAAACCAAAAATCTAATGAGTAAGTATGTTTTACATGTTTAGTGTAAAATTAATTGAAAATTGCGAAACAAAACCCTAATTTTTTGGTATTTTTTCTTTTTGATGATGCTTCAGGAAAAAAATTGAAAATACTGGAGTTCCAGAACAATCAAAGTAAGTATTACTATTTTTTGGAATTATAAGCATAAATTTATTTAAATTTGCTCATATTTAAACAAGTTACTGTTTAATTTCAAAATAAACTTAATTTTCCTCTATTTCTAAGACGATAATAAAAATTTAAACAAGTTATTGTTAATATTGGAATGTATGCATAATTTTGATTAAATGATCAACCAAAAAAAATATAAAGTATAGTATTGTGAAATATAATGAACAAATACAAAACAGTATATGTTCAAATTGGATTGTGTGCATATATGTGTGCATATATATGTATACATATGTTCAAATTTGTATATTATGTGTACAACATGCAATTTATGTTTGTTTCTAAATTGTTCATTTCTAAATTTATGTGTATACATTTACTGACATATTAATTGTTCATTTCTAAATTCCATTTTGTACAGATAGAAAACATATACTTTATTCATCTGTGTAGTAAAATGAACATTTACAAAACACTATATTGTCAAAATTCATATTATGTTATATATATCCATATATGTGTATACAAATGTTCATTGCTACAACTATATTGATCATTTATACGAACTATTCTGTACATTTGTCTAACATAGAAACATCATGTCAATTTTTATGATTTACAATATTAATTTACATTGTAGTGATGTACCATTTAAAGTGGTACACTTGATGCAATTTGACAATGGAATGTTCAATCCTTATCCTATAATTCATGAGAGAAAAGAATGTTCTGAAATAGACAACAAATTGGATAGAAATGAAGTTATAAAAAAGTGGGAACCCTATTTATTAGGAGACAACCTACATCCCAAGTAAGTTGATATACTTACAAATATTCATATATGTAATATTTAATGTACAATCATTTACTTCAATACTTAATCTCATAATTGAAATAATTTGTAAAATTTTAGTGAACCAAAAAAGTTGAAAGTGAAATTTATAATGTCAAGATCAAGGCCAGAGAAAAATCAATCAATAAGGTATAAATACTTAATAAAAATTCAATAATTAATTTTTATACAGTTACATAATCATACTTTTATGTATTAACATTCGAAAAATTTCAGTGAACAAGAGAAGGAAACTTCAAAAATAGATGATGCATCAACAAATCAAGGGTATATTCTACCTCAATGTGTTTAATGTTCATTTATTTCTTAGTTGTCATATATAATCTAATGATTTGCATTCTCAGAAAAAAAAAACAACTGAAGAGGAAGCAAAAACTGATCACCTACAACAAGAAAAGGCTGGATCAGAATTAGTGAATACAGGGTATTTGATTCCCATAATGTTCATTTTCATATTACTTAATAAACATTTTTAATTATTTGAAATTAATTGATTTTCAGAAATCAATCACCTAAGAAAGACACAAGAGAGGTTGAACAACTACAACCAAAAAAGGATGCAGCTGGGTATTTTCAGAAATCAACTAATGTTCATTTTCATATTAGTTGATAAACATTTTTAATCATTTTCAATTTTTAATTTTCAGAAATCAATCAACTGAAGATGAGCCTCCAAAAGAGGCTACAGCAAAGGATCAGCCTACACAACAAGTGAAGGCTATAGCAGAGGATGAGCCTCCAGCAGAGGAAGAGCCTCCAAAAGAGGATGAGCCTCCAGCAGCAGTTGAAGAAACACATTCATACATAATGCAAAAGTATGAACATATATAACTTATTAAATGTTTCTATTCCACATTTACAATATTATTAATCATAAATTATCTGTTGCCAGGAAAAAATTAAAAGTGTCAACTCAAGGAATACTAAAAAAACTGACAAAAAACTGGAAAAGTGCTCCTGTTAGCAAGGTCATTGCTGCTAAAAAGGCCCCTGCTACAACTGTTGATACTGCTGGAAAAGCCACTGCTGCTGAAATGGCCCCAGCTACAACTACTGAAAAGTCCTCTGCTGCAGAAAAATCCCATGCAGCAAGTTCTGCAAATGCACAACAGAAGGCCCCTGCTGAAATTAAAAAAATCCTATTAGGTAATGTACATAATTGTTAAATTAAATATTAAATTTTTTTAATCAATAACACTTATACTGAAAATGTTCATTTACCAATTTGTAAATGATCTAAATGTATAGGTGGTGAAGAAATTGAGATTGAGGATGAAACAGAAGAAGAATTGGAAAGACAAGAAGAATTGCAAAGGGATGAGGAGTTGACAAGAATATTGAGAGGTATAAAACCTGTTGAAGAGTTAAATTTGTCTCAAAAGAGTGAAGAATCTTCACAAAATTCAAAGCAACCAAGAAGGAAAATGGTTGCAAGGAAAAATCAAAAGAAAAAAGAATTGGAAGAAAATCAGAAAAAACAGGAATATGAACAATCACCAGCAAGAAGAACAAGAAGTAAATCACGAGGTAAATAAAATGTACAATTTCTAATATAACAATGATCATATTAAATAAAATATTACAACTATATTAATATTTATATAACAATGTTTATTTGCAGATGTTAAGTTGCCTGGCATATCAGCTATAGCAACAGCTGCTGCAGCAATTGCTGAAAACCTACCAGCAGCAACAACACCCAAAAAACCTGGGCGTCCAAGGGCTGCAACTGCAGTTGCAGAGAAACCTGCTGAGAAAACAGGGCGTACAAGGGCTGCAGTTATTGGGAAAGCAGGCCAAAAAGGTAAAAGAACATATCTAAAACAATAAATGTTCAATTACAATCTTACACTTTTAAAATGTTTATTTTACTTAATGTAATTGATCAAATAATTAGGTGGTCAGAAAAGACCTGCTGCATCAGCCAAAAGTCCTGCAAAAAAAAGAAAAGTCATAGATCAAGTGCCTTATGATGAACCATCAGAGGATGAAGAACAAGAAGAAGTCCCTGCAACAAGTTCTGCTCCTGCAGAAAAGAAAATTCTTAAAAAAGTAGAACAAAAAGGTAATGTACATATTAATAAAGTTAAATGTTCAAATACAAACTAGCAATTTACACTTTCATATATATATGTTCATTTTACATATTATAATTGATCAAATGTTAAGGTGGCCAGAAGAGGCCTTCTACATCAGCTAAAGGCCCTTTGAAGAAAACAAAAATCATTGAAGAACAATCAAAGGAGGAAAATGAAGAAGATGATAAAAGTAATACTGATAGTGGATCAGACAGTGAGGATCCAGCTTTTGATGCTGAAAAAGAAGAAGATGAAGAAAGTGAGGAGGTGGAAGTAGTTCAAGAAAAGAAAACAACATTGAAAAAACCAAAAGCTGAAGAAAAAAGAATGGTTCTGTATGAGAGGGAACCAATAAAAAAGATTGTGAAGAGGAAAACTGAATTTTCAGTGGCTAAAAAAAAAGAAGAGGAGGAAGAAAAGAATGAAGAGGAAGTTGGAAGTTCGACAAGAGGAGGCCATGTCAAATTCATGCATTGGGTTAAGAAAATGAGTGATACACAGAAGAAATTAGTGCATGAAATAGGACTGGGGCCGTTGTTGGATATAGAACTTCCTCAGCTTGACAAACAATTCAGCCATTGGGTTTTAGATAGCTTTAAAGTCAGTAGTTGTAGTTTTGAGCTGCCTAAAGGTGAGAAAATTGAAATTGAGGTGGAGGATGTGAGAATTGTATATGGTTTGCCAATGGGAGACATTCCCATTGTTGAAGCCAAATCAGACAGAGCAAGTGAAGATTTTGGTGTATTTATAAAAAATTGGAGGTCAAAATGGCAAGGCAAAACACCATCTGTAAACCAAATTATTGCTCAATATACAAGTGATAAATTCAAAAACCAAAGGCCAACAGAAGAAGATTTTCTCACCAACTCTTTGGTAGTTGCTGTGAATTGTTTGATGAAGTGTATTTCAAACAACCAATGCCATTTCAAGTTTCTGTTTTCTATGATGGACAAAGAAAAAATAAAAAACTTGAATTGGTGTCAGTACGTGTTTGACTCTCTCATCAGTTGCCATGTGACATGGAGAAAGAGTGGAGGAAAAGGATTCTACAATGGACCACTGCAATTTCTGATGGTAAGTTTACAACACACAATAGTAAATTATAAAATGTTCATTTTAGTAACAATGAATGTTCATTAACAAAATGTTAAATATCGATTTCGTCTAAAATTTTAATCTTTTATATTAATTGTTCATTTGTATTATATTATATGTTCATTTATAGTAATGGGTTTTGGTGCAGCTGTTCTACTTTGACAGAGTTCAATGATTGAACAAAAAACAACCAAGAACAATTCCAATAATTTCTTGTTGGAAAAGGGATATGTCACTTGAAAGGATAAAAACAGAAAATGATTTGAACTATGGATATGGAAAAGTCCTTCCAAGAATAGAAGAAAAGCCTGCAGACAATCCTAAGGTACAAAATGATCATTTATAAATTATGAAATGTTCAATATCAAAACACATAATGTCTTATATGATTTTTCTTATATGTTCTATAAATGACAGGTCTTTATGAATGAATTTGCATCAATGGTACAAGAAGTTGGTGCATCTTTGGCAAGACTTTCTACCAAATTGGTTAAGGCAAAAGAGCTCTTCCCTGGGAATCAGTTGGTCAAGAAGGTAGATGAAGTGTTGGGAAAGATGGCAAGAGAACCATCAATTCTCAGCCAAGATGAAGAAATATTTGGATTAGAGGATTTTTTGAATGCCATAGCTCAAATTGAGAAGGAACTGATGGAGGCAAGTGAAGCAGAAAAAAAGAAAATAGGAAATGAGAAGGAATATGATATAAGGAAGGCATTCAGTTTGGGTTGCAACTTAACTCCCCCAACTCCAACAACTGGTAAATATGCTTAATTAAAAACTGTCATTAATTTGAATATCCTTACTTAAAGAGTATAATATAATTAAAGAATTAAAATTTAATTTATTTGAACACAAAAGCACAGATTAATGTTGCAGCCACAACTTCAACAACAACTGATGCAAATGTTTCTTCTAAGCCAGAAGAGGGTAAAGCTTTAATATCTATGTACAATTATGAAAAGTATAATGTTCATTTATAAAATAATAAGTTTGTTTAGTCTAAATATTAAAAAAAGTATATATTCAGAATAACAAATGTTCATTTACATTAACAATTTCATATATTTTAAATCAACAGAAAGAGTTGGAGGTTCAAATTCTGAAGAACCACAAGATGGAGGAAATTCAAAAAAAGGTAAAAAGTTCACTTATATAGTATTAAATGAACATTTGTGATTGTAAGATATTCTTCTTTAATGATACTAAGTCTATATATGTGTGAATGCAAATTAATACAAAAAGCATTAAACAAAGGTGAAGGTTCAAAATCTGAAGCATTAGAAGAAAATGTTGAAGGAAATTCAAAGAGTGGTACAATGTTCACATATTACAAATAAATGATCAAATTATTAAGTATAATGTTCATTTCTAGTTATATTAAATTTTTTTCATGTATTTTGTTTGCAGCATCTGATTCAAAAGTTGGTGATCCCAAGACACCAACTGAAAATAGGGAAGCTGCTGGAGATATTTCTACAATCTTGAAATCTCCAGCATGTTCAAGTATGGAAGATATCCTTGATAAATCAAACAAGAAAGGAGGAAGCATGGGGTAAACATGGAAGACCTATCTTGTTAGAAAATATATAATTTTGAATGGACATGTAGAATAAATTTGGTTATAAAGTGTAATTATTTTGGACAGTTTTTGTTTATGAAGTTAGTAATGAATATGTATTATAAAATCAGAAGGGAATATTTTGCTTTAGGGTAGGAATGCACAATTTAAGATATGTAAATTATGTATTTTAATTTAAATGTTTTAGTAATATTTTAAGTGTTTATTGTTCAAAAAAAGGAGAATAATGTTTTTTTTATATTAATTACTCTTCATTACTAACCATGATTAATATTTCAGAGAAGACAAGAAGAAACAGATATATGCTTCAAATGTGAAGGAAAGGTAAATGATTATTCCACATATACATGTTCTTTTACATTAAACTGAATAATCATTTATACTATATTTATATTCAGTGAGACAAAAAAGGATTCAAAAGAAATTGAAACAGAGAAGATTCAAATTTCCAAAAACACAACAGGACAAAGGTAAATGGTCTTTACATGTGTATAGATTTATAATGTTCATTATCAATATACTAAATGATAATTCATAATTCAATATTTATTCAGTGACAGAGAGAAGACTTTGGAAAGAAAAAAATCAAGAGAAGCTGAGAAGGCAAAAACTGAGATTGCAAAGGAAAAAGAGATAAGGTATTACTATTTGTTCTTTATATAAATTATTTGTTCATTATTAAAAAAATTCATATTTGTATTAATATATGGTCACATTAACTAGGCCAAAAAGGGAAATCCCAAATGTTCCTCTTGCTTTCCGATCTCCATACATGGTCAAGTACAAGGATTTGTTCAAAGATGAAGACACAATGAACAAACTTGTAACAGACTATGCTTATAGTGGAAAAGATCAAAGGTATACATCACTTACTTCATTAAAACTTTAACATTATGTTTGTTGTAAACTCATAAAATTTAAAAAATTGATATTTTGCAGTGAGCTACTATACTATGATGGAGTGAATTCGATCAATAGGGAAGAGATGAAAACTCTTGAAGGGGATACATTAGTAGTTAACAATGTGATCGATTCATGGGCAGTACTTCTGAATCAAAAAAGGTCAAAGAACAAGTTATACTTTTCAACATTTCCACATGTAAGTCTTTATTGAAATTACACATGTATACATTGGTGTACTAAAATGATCAATTCACTTATACTAGATGATCATTATGAATATTAAAATGATCCTTGTGCATTATTTGCAGCAAATTATGTATGCAAATACAGTGTGTCCTGAAGGATCATCAATGGAGCTTAGAATTGCATACTTCAAAGAAAGAATAACAAATGAATTGAGGTTATACAAAATCAAGAGTGCAGTTGGATATCAACAGGTATTAATGAACAATATGGAATTATAATATGTTCATTTACATTAATGTGTATATATAATAATATTGTGTACTATGTACAGATTTTTTTTCCAGTGGCCATATATGCACATTTTTATCTTCTATGCATTGATCATATCAATGAGACAATGCATATAATTGACAACAGGAAACTGCCAAAACATCAAACAATTGCAACAAAGTATGAAAACCAACCCCAATTGGTGGTAAGTATATTGTTTAATAGATATATAAATGATCAATTTGTTTATACAAAATGATCAATATTGAAAATTAAAATGATCAATATTAATATGATCCTTTGAATTTTTTTTTCTGTATATGTTGCAGTTAAAAGGATATGCAGAATATTTGAAAGGGTTGGGGTATGAAGATGCAGGTTCTATTGAGAAATATAAGGTGGTTTTGCAAAAAATGAAGTGGAGGAGCAACGAAGATTACACCAACTGTGGAGTTTACATTATGAAACATATGGAAACTTTCACTGCTGATCCCAATGAAGAATGGGTTTGTGACCTAAAACCAAACAATTTAAGTAAATTTCAACAAAACAAAAAAATATACTTCATGATCACTTTATAATACATAATGATCATTTATATCCCATTAATGTTCATGTTTATAATAAATTATTTTCTTGGAACAGGTGAACCAAATCAGAAAGCTCAGAGTACAATACACTGCTGAACTAATGCTGAATGAAGGAAATGGGCAGTCACAGAACAATAGAAGAGCAGCAAGAAGATTTGCACAAGCTTAATACAATATGTTCATATATAGACATATATATGATCATACTTGCTTTCAGTATTTGTATGGACATAAGTTTTTGTTGTTGTTCAAGTAAAGACAAAATTTATTATCTTTTTAATATTTACAAATAGTAAAGTGTTACATTATAATTGCCAGTTTTAAATCATCTAATATAATTATTCCAATTTAATAATGGTTCTTACTATTTAAAATAGTATATGATCACTTCCAAAAGCAAAAATAATCATTTATAGAACATTTAAGAATAGTTTGAAAAAAAAAAAGATTCAAATTACTTAATAAATCAAAATATAAAAAACTTAAAGCACTTGAATCTCTATAAAGTTGAGACAACTAAAAATGTTGATAGTTAAACACCAAAACATAATTGCATATTGATTTACTCTCTTATTTACCATTTGTAGCCAATCTCTTAGCCACACTAGTATCAAAAAACGCTAATAACCTATCATATTTGGTTGAAATCTGTGGAGAACCTCCTTGAGTACTTCTTGAAACAGTAGGAGATCCTTGAACATTCATTGAAACACTAGGAGAAAGTAGAACATTCCTTGAAACACTAGGAGAAACTTGCACATTCCTTGAATTTCCTTGAGTACTTCTTGGAACATTAGGAACATCATGCACATTTCTTGAAATACTAGAATCAACTTGAACATTCCGAAAACAGCCTTGAGTACTTCTTGGAACATTAGAAGGAGCTTGAACTTTCTTCGGAACACTAGAACGAACTTGAACATTTCTTGGAGCTTTTGGAGGATTTTGAACAATGCTAGAAACTTTAGAAGGAGCTTGAGCATTGATTTGAGCATGCACAACTGTGGGAAAATGTACATTTCTTGGTTTCTTTGGTGGCAATTGAGAACTTGTTGGAAAATTATCAACATCATGAGCAATTGCAGCTGTTTTACCCTAATGATCAAAATTAAAATAATTAATGATCAAATTCAAAATTCATAATGACCTTATACAAAATTAAAAGGTAGATGATTAATATTTCACCTTAACAATAGAAGATATGTCTGGATCAACAGTAACGTTTGATTGCATAGAGCTATATCCATATTCCTATAATAAAATGAAAATTATAAAAACATTATAATCACAACTTAAACTACTAAAATGAACAACTACAATTACATACATAATCATTTACATAATACCTGTTCAAAGTCATTTGAAACACTATCATCTGAAGGGATATCTTCTACAATGGCAGTCTTTTTATTACAAACCTTGAAAAAAAATTAAAAGTAAAAATGTTTAATATTCTAAAGAATTTGATAAAAACAGATAAAAAAAAAGAAAATAAGTTTTTACCTGAGCACTTGGATCTTCAATCACAATTAACTCATTAGGATCAGCCAAAGAATTAGCATAAGATATAGGACACCCATTCTCGTCCAATTCCTAAGGCAAAACAAAAATGTTCAATTCTTGAACATAAATGATCAATAACAAAAACATAAATGTGCATTATTACCTGAACTACTGCTTGACCTTTAGATCTTTTATAAGGAGTGTATACTGACTTTTTCTTCAACCACTGACCCCTGGCTTTGTTATAAGCCTTCTCTAAATTACTCTTAGGCCTATAATTCCTCTCTCCAATAGGTCTTGATTTTGCCGGATTCTTAACTTCATGATCAACAATTTCAATACCTTCAACCGGTTCATTAAAATCAATAGTACCAGTAACACTCTCAATCTTTTCTTTTAAAAGATTGAAATAACATTCAACCTCTGCTCTAGCATTCAAAGAGTGTTGACAACTTGTTACCAACTTAACAAAGTTCCTTAGTGTTTGTGTCCTCCAAACACTTGTAGATACTACATTGGTTTTCATTGTAGGTTCATCAAGGCCATGACTACACATAGCAGCCTAAGTCCACCTCTTACATATATAGTCATCTGAAATCTTATGAACACAATTCATATGATAAATTCGAAGAGCATGACAACAAAGCAAACCCATTTCACTAAACAACATGCATGTACAACATATTGCATGTGTTTCTTTATTAAAAACAACCTCGTGCTTGATCATATCTTTCCCAGGTCTCCACAAATGATAATAATATTCAGGAAAATTCACACCAGCATCCTTATGATCACAAGCAGTACCCTTAATGAACTCTTCCTCAAAAAGCACATAAGCTTGAATAGTATACAATGATCTAGCATGAACAAGAATCCCAATGTATGCAAAAGCCAAATGACGATTACCTCTGATTGTATTATAATCTCTCCCTTTTTCTTTGCTTCTCCACTCTTGAACCACATCGAGAAACACTTGATAGAAATCACATAGACCTTGTGTCTTGTTAAGCCTTTGAGAAACTGATTTGTTAGTTGTCTCACTACGTTGAGATGAAAGCACACCTCCTGACCAAAATTTCTTTGAAAAAGCTGGACACCACATCTCTTTGATTTTATACAAATAATTCAACCAATCAACATTTGCACAGTCATATTTCAACAACATTCTGTAAATGAAACATGATCATTAAGCATAACAGTTATGATCATTATAAATAAACATTTATAAAAAACTAAATGTTCATTTCTGTAAAAATTATTTAAGAAGCTAAACAAGTATAAAGCAGAAGTACCTTTTCCAATAATGCTCAAATTCTGGTGGAGTTTCACAATACTTCAGTAAATAACCAAATAAATCAGTGAAACCATCCAAAGCTCTCAACGCCCCAATGTGTTTCTTAGAATTTTGTTCAATATGCCACACACATAATCTATGATGAACACCTTTGGGGAAAATATTTCTTATCCCAGCTGCAATTGCTTGAGCTTGATCAGTCATAATAGTAATAGGACTTCTCCTTCCCATAGAAGTTAGAAAAGTATCAAATAACCACTCAAATGATTCTGTTCTTTCATTAAGTATAAATCCCATGCCAAACATCACATTATTTGCATGATGATTCATACCCACAAATGGAGCACAAATCATACCATATTTGTTAGTCCTATAAGTAGTATCAAAAACTAACAAATCACCAAAGTAATGATAATCTCTCATCATCCTTCCATCTCTCCAAAAGAAATTAACCAATGCACCATTTTCATCTTGTTCAAAATCATAATAGAAATCTGCTTCATCAATTTGTCTCTTAGCAAAAAATTTGATTAGTTGATTGCTGTCACCTCCCCCAAGTTTAGCTGTCTTTTCAACAGAAATAGCATTATAAGCATCAGGAGCTGTAAAACAAAGGTTAGGAGACCCTCCAACCTCCTTCTTCAAAGCTCTCAAAGAATCAGAAACTTTAACTCCACTCAATCTAAGTGTAGAAATGAAATTAATATGTTCCTTAGAAATATCCCTTTGAGACCTTATTAAATGTCTCTTGTCAACAGGAATCTTTTCATGATTATGAACCATCTCATGTCTTGTACATGTATATACACCTGAACGGTCAATACTAAACTGCACAAAAGCTAAGCAACCGGTCCTTATGTTAAGTCTCTCATACAGCCTATTATTCCTGCACTTATCATCTTTAAAACCCTCATTTGTACAAACAAATCTTTTCATAGAGAATGAATCATCTCTTCGCCTCTTACTTTTTCCAATTCTAATTCCAAAGCCCTTTCTAAATGCATATTCATTAAACATTTCATAAGCCACATCTTCAGAAGGAAATTGTTTCCCATAAAATTCAGAACTAGTTGCTTCCTCAAATAAAATAGCATTCTTTTTTTCCACTGCAATATTAAAATGTAACAAATGAACACAAATAATAGCAATAATGTACAATAACCACATGTAAACTGTTAATGATCATTTATCATTACATAAATGAACATATATCAAAATGATAATAAAACATATAAATGAACATTTATGATTACATAGATAAATGTAAATTACAGTAATTACACCTATGTTAACGTAAATGTACATATAATCTAACATACATGAGCATTAATTGAATGTCAAATTTTATAAAACTATAGACAATCATTAAAATGCAGAAAACTGGAAAAAACATCAATCGAATAACAACATTACAAAGAAAAACAATAAAATCACAACAATACATCACAAATTATAAATTAAAATAATCATAAATAAAAATGAAATCAAATATTATAATCGACCATAATTTTGATTTTAATTCATACAATAAGCAATAACAATTAGCTAAACAATAAAATCAAAAATTATAATTGAGCATTATATAAACTATAGTTCATACAATTAGCAAAACTATGAAATCAAAAATCAAAATCGAACTATTACACGCGAAAAACAGAGCATAATCAAAATCGAATGATTGAGGAAAAAATTACTCACATTGTTTCGAAAACGAGTCGACTAAACCAACTCCAGCAGAAAAAATAGAATCACAATCACGATCAAAAGCAATTAAGCTAGAATCACTGTCACGATCAAACGCAATTGAGCTAGAAATTTCCATGGAAGAAGAGAGAGAAAAATTGGGGGAAAAATAAAAAATGCAGGAGAGAGAAAATGAAATAAGTAAAATATGAGATAAATAAAATGGAAATTAGGTTAAGAAAATCATTATATAGTTGCTTGAATAGAAAGTTAACAAAAATGAAAAAAGATGAAGAAAAAAAAATGGCAGAATGGTTCAATATAAAACGACGTAGTAGCATGGGGGTGTAGGAGAAGCTGGCTACCCTAGAGTCTAGGCAAAAATTTGTATTACAAGGTCGGGCTCCAATCCAATAAAGAAACAAATTTAGTAGCCCATTCCACATAGTAAAGACAACCCAAAAAAAGGCCCAAAAAAGACACACCACTCTTCTTCCTCCACATTCGAAAGTAAAGAAAAACCCCTAAAAACACAAAATCCTAAAACCCTCAGATTCCGTTTTCTGGTGCGGCTAAAACCCTCTTCCGTCGTCATTTTCCCCCAATCTTCTTCCTCAAATCGCCTAAAATGGCATCAATTGCTCTGCGAAACCCTAATTCCAAACGACTTCTTCCTTCTTCTTCTCACCAAATCCATTTCTACTCCAACGCTTGTCGAGCTCTTCTCTCTCCTACCTCATCTACTTCCGCCATTGTTGAACAAGCTTCCAGAAATGAGTCTGCTTCTCTCTCCTCTTGGTGGCGATCTATGGCTACCTTTACACGATCGTATGACTTCTCTTACTTTTTTTATTTTGATTTTGTTTGAAAATGTGTGTTTTTGTGTTGAGTTAGTAAGAAATGATCTGACATTTGGTAGATGAATTCTTCGAATTTGAAGTTGATTGTGTTTTGATGATCTGGGTGCATCGTTTGAGCTCGTCATTTCAAGATCAAGCCTAGTTCATTTTGAAAAAAAAATGTTATGTTGAATTTTTAAATAAAAAATTGGGAAATCAACTGTATTTATGCTCACATTTACGCTTTTTTCGCTCACTTTAGCAATTTTTAGTTAATTGTAAGAAATACATTTCATATTTTGTTGAAATGATTTGATCTCTTGGTAACACAATTTGTAGGATTTCAATTAGATTTTTCAATTAAGTCATTAAAGACATTTAGTGTTTTTTCGCTTGCTTTAGTATGCATTTCATGGTTAAAGTCAATTTATGACTATCTATACTGAAATCCCACTATCCCCGTAAAATGTTACCCAGGTTATACTAATCATCCCTTATAGATTTGTTATCAACCTGGAAATTCTTGAAGTCAACGTATTGCTCATCTGAAAGATAATGACTGTTCAGTAGTTCAAGATATGATATTTTACCATTTGCAGAAAGATGGTTTTATATTGCTGGAGGAATATGATGAAAAAATAGTGCAGAAATGGATGAGTACTAGTCGAATCATCAGCTTTCTAATCATTTCCACTAGTTATTATAGCCATGTACTTTGTTAGCCATTGTAATGATAAGTTTTGATGATACATGTCTTAATTATGTCTAGAGTTTTGGTTATGTCATGAATATAACTCTAGAAATTTAAAGCAATTAGGTTCACGTGCCACAAATGCTAATTTTACTGAACTGAACCTGCACAATATAGAGGCACAAATTAAGTTCTCTCGACTTATCAGCTCTCCATTTCACAATCTGTCAACTTTAGTTCTGGAATAAAGATGACTGAGTTCTGAGATATAGAATGCAGGAAGGATTTCCTGTTTCTATTTTACGGTTTTACCTTTCCCTTGTAGGTTCTTAATTGTTTTTTTCCTTGATGATACAGGAAGCCTCATGTCAACGTAGGAACTATTGGACATGTTGATCATGGGAAGACAACATTGACTGCAGCAATCACAAAGGTGGATTGAGCTAATTCTTTTATATCCATTCGTTTGACTTGCTTCTTTTGTTCCTCCCTTGAATTTGCTAGTAGTTGCCTTATATTCCTCTATTCTGACTGGGTCAACTAGGATGTATGACTAAAATTGTGATCTTTACTTGGATAGGTTTTGTCAGAAGAGGGGAATGCCAAGGCTGTTGCTTTTGATGAAATTGACAAAGCTCCCGAAGAGAAGAAGAGAGGAATTACCATTGCAACGGTTAGCAGGCTGCATTCTTATCATAGTGCCTCTTTACTCCATTAAAAATATTTATGATCCAATATCAAACTAATTGATTTTTCAGGCTCATGTAGAGTATGAGACTAAAAAGCGACACTATGCGCATGTTGATTGTCCTGGACATGCTGATTATGTCAAGGTAAGTAGGGATTTTTTGTTGAAGTGGGGTGGGTGGGTGGGGAGGGGTATAAAAGTTTTGTTTGGGAACATATGATTCTTTTCCATCTTAGCATGAACATTTATTTGTCCAGACTTCAATCTTGCTTTGGCATCTTTTGTGCCATAGGTAGGAGTAGAAACTAGAAACATTTTTAGAGGTTTTTTCTGGAAGTTTCATATACCATTTCTTATGTTCACCTGGAACAGTTTTGTCTTTGTATTCTTGCTAGCTTCTTTGCTTCCATTAGTTGTTCTTGTATTTTTGTATTATTGTGAATTTCTTGTTGCCAAGAAACCCTACTGAAAGCTATTATTTTATGGCTTTCTTTCATAAATGTTTTCCTCTTTATGTCCTTTGTGTCAGACAGTGAAACATATATTGGTAGCTAGCAATGGAATTTCCCCTTTTGTAATCTCTTTTAGAGTTTGACATTACAATCCAGAGGAAAATTTTATTAATCAGCCATCATCTGTAATGTTTAGGAGTTATTGTAAAGGTATGTACATTTCTTGCTGCTTACTTGCTAAATTTTATTTGTTTTGGATTTAACAGAATATGATTACTGGAGCTGCTCAGATGGATGGTGGTATTCTTGTTGTGTCTGCTCCTGACGGGCCCATGCCACAGACCAAGGAGCATATTCTACTTGCTCGTCAGGTGCTTCAATAATTGTTAGAATATCTGCATTATGTACTGGGCTGCATCCCTCTTTCTTGTTCATTTTCTATTTTACATCAGACAGTGCATCCCATGTAATTTCTTGTACTTCTTGCACATTGGAAGTATAGCTGTCCCAATATGCCAAGAAAAGTGATGAAAGAAAAAAAGCTAATTGATTATGGGTTTAGTATTGACATGAGTCTGGGATATAGTTGTTTGTAAGATTCAAATTGCTGAAAACACAAGTACCCAATTTTGGGTTAGAATTCTAGTAATGAGTCGAAAGATGCTGGCTTTCTGGTCTTTGTAGAGAATGACCATCATTTGGAGAAAACAAAAGGTTGGGGGAGTACATGCTCTTTGATTCTTGTGAGATATACAAGTTTTGGTTGAATCACCGCTCTTCATGATAGTATATTACTCTTTCTGTCTTGTGAACAAGCATTATGTTGAATTTTGCACTGAGTTTATGGTGAGTGAAAAATCATGGAGCAAAAATTGGGTGGATGCGGGGCCAAATTTTTAGAAACAAAAGTAGTGAAGAGAAGTTATTTGAAAAAAAAATTATTTACTATGGGACATATGAATAAGATATATATAACTCATGGGATGGTGGGAGTAAGATACTGTCATATTCAACTATCTAAATGTTTTAATTTGTTTCTCATTTTCCTTGTAGGTTGGTGTGCCGTCATTAGTTTGTTTTTTGAACAAAGTGGATGCTGTTGATGACCCAGAGTTAATTGAGTTGGTAGAAATGGAACTCCGTGGTAAGTTTAAAAACTTTGAACTTTTGAACTATTATAGGAATATTGCCAGAAAAAATAAGTAGTGGATTTTTTTTGGTAATGATTTATGTACTAGCAATTTGCTTTAACATGACTTTTTTTTTTGTCTGTTTATGCAATATTTTGGGGGCTTTTAGAACTTCTCAGCTTCTACAAATTCCCTGGGGATGACATCCCTATTATTAGGGGTTCAGCCTTGTCTGCCTTGCAAGGCACAAATGATGAAATTGGGAGGCAAGCCATCCTGAAGCTAATGGATGCTGTCGATGATTACATTCCCGACCCTGTCCGTGTTCTTGACAAACCTTTCTTGATGCCAGTTGAGGATGTTTTCTCGATTCAGGTATATTAGACTTATTTCGGTTTTTTAAAGAATAAAGAGTTATTGACATTTGCTGCTTGCTTACTTGTTATATTGTTAGGCATAGTTGGTATATGAGTCTGTACTTGATATTGCTTGAAGTTGATATTCTAAACATGAAGAGCATGTGAACGTTAAATAGTGAGGATGTGCTTAACTGCTTACTATTTTTTGAGTTTTAAGGTAGACAGTAATAGTGTAATACCATGAATGCTATAAATAATACTTGTAGTGCAACTGGCATAATTTACTATGCTAACCTTCTCGTAAACTGAGGTTTGTTGCTGACACCTCATTATATGTAAACTAGTGGTGAGATGGTCTACATTGGCGAAGCTGATTTTTATTATCTCCTGATGCAGGGACGTGGAACAGTGGTGACTGGTCGTGTTGAACAGGGCATGATCAAAGTTGGAGAGGACGTAGAGATTTTGGGGTTGATGCCGGTACAGTTGAAACTCGTTGCTATGCTTTTTATAATATGATGAGCTGTTTGAAACCTAAAACTTATGTATGCTTTACAAATTCTTCTGGTGGATGTTCTTGAAGATGTTTTCTTTCCTTTAAACTGTAACTAGTGTTTTATCTTGATCCTACTGTTTACACTACAGGGTGGTCCAGTGAAAACTACAGTGACTGGTGTGGAAATGTTTAAGAAAATTTTGGATCACGGTCAGGTAAATGATTAAAGTTGATTTTTGCAATTTGGATATTTGTTAATTTTTTTTTACGGTATGTGAACTAAAAATTCTGCATGTATAATATATTCTAGGCTGGAGACAATGTGGGTCTTCTTTTGCGTGGACTGAAGAGGGAAGATGTACAGCGAGGACAGGTACATTGATGTAGTCTGTTTTTTTAACCTCACATTCTCATCTCACTTTCTACTCCGTGTTCCCCCCACCCCCCCTCTCTTTCTTCCCACACACACGCAAAAAATAATTTCAGAAGAACATTGTGTCCTCTACGATAGTTTCACTTGATGTTTTAACACTGTTTCTGGCTTATCTATTATTATTCTTATTTTTTTTTATACAAATAACTTTGATGTAATTTTTATGGTTTATGAACTCGTAATTGAAGATGAGTGTAAAAGACCTTATAAGGGTTTGATAATCAGTATGATAATATTAGAGGATTACTTCAGGGCTTTTCATAAGTAAGGATAATGTCATACTCATGGGGACATAGATGCTTAGCCATTTACAAGGTACTAATGAGAAGCAAGGCAACTATAAGTCTATAATCATACCTTAATCGCTCAAGTGGCATTACGCTAAAGATAATAGTTGAGTTTCTAATGTCTTAAAGGGGAAAACTCCAAGTATAGGATGGATTAAGAAAGAAAGCAATTCAAGTACTGGATGGATAAGGAAAGAAATTATGGAAGGCAGTCGATACTTTATATTTGGTTCAACCAACCGCCTTTTGTTATCATTTATATGGATTAGGAAAGAAATTATAGGAGGCATTTGAAGGACTTGTAAGACTAGCAAAATACTTGGACTTGCTATGGTTTCTCATGAAATATTATACTCTTTGTTTCTACTTCTCCAAATGTAAGTTAAAGCTGTGTTTACCTACATTTTTAATGCTCAACTTCAGTTTGTGCTTGAAACTAAATCATTAAGCTGCTATTGATGTACTCTATCTCTTGATTACTTTAGGTGGTTGCTAAACCAGGAAGTTGCAAAACATTCAAAAGGTTTGAAGCAGAAATATATGTTCTCACCAAGGATGAAGGTGGTCGTCATACAGCCTTTGTCTCCAACTACAGGCCCCAGTTCTATTTGAGAACAGCAGATGTTACTGGCAAAATTGAGTTGCCAGAAGAAGTAAAGATGGTTTTGCCTGGTGACAATGTGACTGCTACATTTGAATTGATATCACCTGTTCCTCTTGAACCAGGTATGAAGCTCTTTTGGACCATTGCATAAGTTATGATGCTGTGTGGTTTGGTTTAAGACTGTAACTTCAATGCTAGTGTCTGTGGTTGTTAATCCTATAAATGGCTTGTCTTTTCATCTCATTGGTTTCAGCCTACATTGCGCAGCCCCTAGATCCTAGCTTGGCTAGCTCTAGCCATTCTGAATTTCTGTACGTGGTATAATAAGTAAGCAATAAAAGTGGACTTTAGTTTGATGAGCTGTAAATTAAAATTTTTGTTCCCAAAAAATAAAAAAACAAACTGTAAATAGTGATAAGTTAGTTAAAATGCTGCACAGAAACAGTAGTTTGTGACAAAAAATGTTGTATGAAAATTGCAGCCTCCTTTTTAAAAACTTTCTCTGTCCCCTCTCTTTTTTCCCGATGGGAGGAAGAGTTTTTTACCAGAGATTGGATTTGGGGGAGTGACTATTATCGAATTAGTTGTACGATGTTCTCTTGGAAAGTAGTAAGTGGCTTGATAGGAGTCAAAGATGTATGTTTTTTTTTTGCAAAACTCAATACTGTAAATCTGCAATGGAAATCTTCGTAAACTTGCCCTTTGTTATGAGGTTCTGACCATTGTAGTTAGAATAGATTATGTGATTTTTGATCTTTGATTGTGCTGTTTGCTGACAACTTTCACTTGGGAAACGTCGCCCAAATAGACCTTTATGATTGTTGAGTGATTAAAGAGAGTGTATACTTTACGAGTCATGCTTCTTGGATTTAGTGATTTAATTTAATGACCATTGTAGTAAGGAGATTATGTGACCATTGTAGTAAGAAGAGATTATGTGATTTTTGATCTTTGATTGAGCTGTTTGCTGACAACTTTCACTTGGGAAACGTCGCCCAAATAGACCTTTATGATTGTTGAGTGATTAAAGAGAGTGTATAGTTTACGAGTCATGCTTCTTGGATTTAGTGATTTAATTTAATGACCATTGTAGTAAGGAGATTATGTGACCATTGTAGTAAGAAGAGATTATGTGATTTTTGATCTTTGATTGAGCTGTTTGCTGACAACTTTCACTTGGGAAACGTCGCCCAAATAGACCTTTATGATTGTTGAGTGATTAAAGAGAGTGTATACTTTACGAGTCATGCTTCTTGGATTTAGTGATTTAATTTAATGAAAGGTTGGTTACTTCTGGAGATCTCAGGAGTATATGATGAATCCAGCAGAATCCGGTGACAGATGGAGTCAATGACGCCTGCTTAATAAATTTCTATTCCAAAAAACCATTAGTGATAAACTAGATAGTTGGTTCTGCTCTTTGTTTTAACACTTTTACTTTGTGAGGTTCTTGTTATGTTAAATAAAATTATAATCCACTGATGTAGTAGCACTAACTCATTGTCTTCGAACAGGGCAAAGATTTGCTTTGAGGGAGGGAGGTCGAACAGTTGGTGCTGGTGTGGTTTCTAAAGTTATCAGCTAGAAGTGCCATGGTTGGACGTTAAGAAAGTTGAAGTTGGATACTTGGATTTCACACCAGGGATGCCGTGTTTTTGAAGATGAGTCTGGATCCTTGTACTTTTGAGTTTGACATGAAAAGTAGTAGGAATCATTTAAAATCAGATAGAATTGATTTCTTTATCAAGCAAATGCTCACTTTGTAGTTCACAAGAAACGCTCATAATTCAACCGGTTTTGATGGTTGAGTAAATAATTTTCTTGGAGTTGCATAATTGTTACCATTGGCCACACTAATCAATTAAGTCTTTGATTTTGTATGTCAATGCATGTATACTAGACTGATGGACTTAGTCCCACCGATGACCGTGCACCCTAAGGCAGGATGTGTTCCACCAGGACACAATGCTCCTATAATCCTCAAACTTTCCAGAAATCACTGTTACAACATGGTTTTACCAACTACTGGTTACTGCATTTACGGAGTTATGAATTGCTCTGCATGTTTCGTAGAGTATTGGGATGCAGTATGCTTTTCTCAGATATGCAATTCTTTCAGCATACCTAGAACTCTTTTAAAAAGGGTACATTTTTACATGCCTTGAGCATGTGTCCTCAGTTCTTGCCGCATACAATGTTGTGCATACAGACACGACAAAAAAATTTACCCAATGTGAGAATGATCTGAAAGCTAAACATAATTAAGCTGAACACATTTACCCGAAACTCGCTATATAATGGGTCAAACTTAACCTACTTTGTAAAGTAATTACACTCCTATGGTCCTATCATTCCATAAATTTTATCTTTATTTTTTGAAATTTTAGAATGATAACTCTGTACTAACTTATTAAGAAGTACTCTATATTCTTTCCATCCCCTTAATGTTTGTCCTATTTCCCTTTATAGTCTATTTCTTTAAATTTGGCCCGATATTATTTTTAGGTTATAGGGACCACAACTTTATTCTCACAATCACTTCATTTAATCTTACCATTTTTTTTTCTTTTCATCAACTCTTTTCAACCAAAAATAAAAACCCTTTACCATTTTCGAAGCGAATAAAAGAGGATAAAAGGAGAGGAGCATCAATCTAACCCCTAAAAAAAAAAAAAAAAAATTAAAAAGGGAGGTTTTCAAACTCTTCATCATTAAAAACAAAAAAAAAACAAAAAAAAAGGCGGGAAAACCAACAAAAAAATGCCGCTAAAACCATTCACTTACCTCTACCACATAAAACCCTCTCTTCCACCATTTTCCCCATTTCAATTCAAACTACCAAATTCACGCTTTCTCTCTCTAGAATAATTTTCTCTCTCTGAAAAATCAAGATGATGTTCTCTCAAAGCCAGTACGACAATGGCTTCTCATCTTCTCAATTCACTCAATCTGATTCCACCCCTTCTCCTGCTAAAGTATAACCTAATCCCCTTTTTTTTCCAATTATTTTCATTTAATTATGGAATTATTTAATATTGACTTTGATTTTGATTTTGGATGAGTAGAGTAGAGATCCGCAAGGAACAATTCCAGTAACAGTGAAGCAAATTAGCCAAGCTTCTCACTCCAACGCCGACGATAAATCCAGTTTCAACCTCGACGGCGTCGATGTCACCAACGTAACATTTCTTCCTCATTAATGTCTAATTTTTTTTGTTGATTTTATACATGAATACTCAGTTTTGTTTTTCAAGCCGAAAATTTTGGAATTGAATTTTTGATTGATCTAGGGTTTTTATTGGATGTGATTTGAATTGAATTGCAAACTGCTGTTCTTTCTTTCTGATGCAATATGTTGAAGGTTTTAAGATTGATTTGTGATATTTATTGAATTATAGTTGCTATATTTTTTTAAAATATTGGAAATGTTGTTTTAGGGGAAAAAAATGGTATGTGATAGATGTAAATGATTTTTACCGAACATTTATATTTTTGAAGTCAACCTACTATTAGAACTTAGAAGGTTTACTAATAAATAGGTGACTTATTAATGTTTTTGCTGTATGTTTTATAAGCATGTGTTTTGAAATTTTAAAGAAAGTAATTTTGGTTTAATTTTTGATCTTAGCCTTTTAGTATCAAATTGAATCCTAGGTGAACATGAGTATAAATACTAAGAAGAACCTTGTAACTAGAGCGGGTTAATGGGTAGGGTAGCTTAATAATAATAGGGTCACGGCCAAGCTTAAAAGGTTTTTAATGGACAGGTCCTTTAACGGACAGGGCCCTTATTGGGTAGGGTCAATATAGGGCTAAAATGTTTTTCCAATTTAATAGACAAACAAAATAGATAATGTAAAAATAATTACATAGATACTACCTCCGTTAAATATTAGTCGCAACTTTGGAATATTTTATATCTCACACATAATACCCCAAAGTTGCAACTAATATTTAACGGAGATAGTAAATTTGTATTCATATATACTTAATGGCTTTGTTCAATATTTATTCTAATTAATATTTTGTTGGCCCTCCCATTGACTCCTGACCCGCTATTGACCTCCGACCAGCTATTGACCCTATAAAATGTGACCCTCTTTGACCCAACCTGCAATTGACCCGCATTGACCCTGACAGCCCAATAACCAGGTCTGCTTGTAACTAATACCTCTTATTTTGTTCGGCAAGGCAGCAAGTGTGGTGCGCGCTTCTTAGATTGTACCGAATATTGTTATGGCTATTCATATATACTCCGCTTTAACCAATGTTGGTGATTTATATACAAGAAAATACACAAACATATAGGATCTTAAAATCGTTTCGATGTATAGTTTTTTTATATCAACTTTTTATAGTTTTACCTCTTGGGAGCTAAAGATATTAATGTTAAAAGTTGAGTAGGCAAACTTGAAAAGTCAAAATGAAGATTTTTTTTTATATTAAAATAAAAACAAACAGAGGTAGTAGTAAGTTGTAAAAGGGACAAGTTTGATGTTAGGATTGTTTAAGGATTTAAAGTCACCTTTTGGAGTTAGGTGATTCATATTATCTAAATTGTTGAATTTACATGTTCTTTTCTTTTATGCTTACAACATCTGAGTTTTTTTTTGGTCAATTGTTTGATGGGTTCAGGTCAAATTGGTGGGAATGGTACTTGATAAAACAGAGAAAGTGACTGATGTTTCGTTCACCCTTGATGATGGAACTGGACGTATTGGATGTAAAAGATGGTAACGTTTTCCATTCCATTGGTTTGATTTTTCAATGATACAACATGTTTTTTACATGAAGATGAACAGATTATTTTCATTTTTAAGAATTGAGCTCAACACTTCGAGTAATCTGTAGTATCTGTACTTTGAATGAGGGTTGTGTTTGAATTAGTGAATTCTAATGGTGTTAAGGTCTTGTTTTTCTTTCTTGCTTGACTTGTTAATGTTTTACATTCTTGCTCAATTTCTGTCCAGGCTGAATGAACCATTTGATAGGAAGCAAATGGAGGTTATAGAGTAAGTTCTTGACTTGAATTTGTTGTGTTTTCTTGTTTGTCTCAATGCCTGATGGTGATATGGTTTTGTTTGCAACAGAGAGGGCATGTATGTTCGGCTAGTTGGTCACTTAAGGAACACCAGAGGCTACAATGAAATAGCTGTGTTTAACATGCGGTATGTCTTGAAATAAAGTTCATGGTCTAATAGTTGTACCGTAATAGGTTATGTAGGCACAAAATTTGTTTCCGGTTAATGTTGCTGGTTTTCAAGATTTCATTTGTTGTTGTGGTCTTTGTGGATTTTGATTAATTTCACTTTGACGAATTGGAGGAAGCCATGATAAAACATTTTTGTTTTAGCAATAGCAGCTTAGATGTCTCTCTGAGGGCTCATGTAATTTCTTAAGTTTATAAAAGGGGGTGCAATAACCTCTAAAAAATGTAGCCTTCAGAACACTAAGCCAATCCTATCATTCTGAAATGTCTTGTTACTTGTAATACATTGAATGTTAGCCAGACGTTCATTATAGTTTGTAATTGTATGGCAATCTGGTGACTAATAAGAGCTTGGAATTTGGTGCTTGCAGGCCTATCATTAATTTTAACGAGGTTACCCTCCATCATGTAGAATGCATTCACCAGCATATTGTCAACCACAAGTCACAGGTAGATTATTTTTATCTCCAACCACAGGGCTACCACAAGTTCAGGAATATTGTATTTGCAGTGTGAATTTAATCTCACTTTGAATGTACTTATTTGTACTTAAGCAGAAAGGTGACTCTCTCACTCAAGGTCAGACAATGGAATCATCGCATAGCACTCCAGTCAAGGTTGAATCCAATGGAATTCACTCATCTCCACCTAATCAAGTAAGCTCGAGACACCAATGATTGTTATTAGCTTGCTAGCTCTAAATTTATCTTGCACCTTTTCTGATTTGTCTTTTTCTACTTCAGTTCTCAATGCAAATGAGTGTTGATGGCTTAAAAGACGTTGATCAGAGGATACTTGATTATTTAATGCAATCTTCAAGCCTGTAAGTTGTGAATCACTTTAGAATCATCTTTTCATGTTTTGGACTGCAAGTTTTCGTCGTCTAGAAGATGTTTGTACCATTTTTCTGTTGCTTCAATTTTGCTAATTTTTATCCTCTTTTTTTTCATAATATGTGGGTATGTTTCTTTGCAAGTTGAATAATTCGCATTTCTAGTTTTATGTGCAAATCAAAGTCCCTTCGGTACTGCTTCATGCCTTGATCACATTGGTGCTTTATATGCTGTTTCACTGAAAGTTTACATTCTTTTAGGGCCCAAGAAAAGGGTGTACACAGGGATGAAATTGCTCGGAATTTGAAGATTCCAGTGGAGAAGCTCATGTAATCCCTTTTCTCTCTATCGTTATCTCTCTTGAACAATCCCCTTACCCTCCTAAAGTAGTTTGTATAAAATTAAAAGATGAGAAGCATGTGTCATTAGTCATTACATAACACGACCCGTTGTTTTCCTGCTGTTCTTAGGGAATCCATCCCATGTTTGGAGGATGAAGGCTTAATATACTCTACGATTGATGAATTTCACTTCAAGCCTACTGCTGCTTAAATCCATATTTTGACAACGGATCGAGAGATGATGGCTATAATGATAAAGGATGGATCTTATGCCTGTTCAGTTATCACTGTATTAGTACTGAATCAGTTCAGGTTTCATATCTAGTAGCATTTTTTATTACTTTTTTTTTTTACCCGGAAGGAATCATATCGAGTAGATAAGCTCCTGTTTCGTAGTATGATATTGAAATGTATGGAAATGCAGCTACATGTATATGTTGGCTTTTGATCAAAAGCTGCACAAGTAGAAGTTTAGGGATGTTTCACCTAGTAGAATTTTACTACCTTTTCAAGTTAAAATATGAATTTTCATTAGAATTTGTTACTCGTGCTATTTGTTTAGTACAAATCTGAGAAAGGGAATTTCTAGGAATTTGTTATAGATTTTAAGGGGTATTAATAATCAAATTTGCTAATAGAAAATAATCACAATCTCCAAATAAACGAGTGAAGAGCAATAAAATAATAGAACTATAATAATAATTATAAATCAAAGAACAAAGTAAGAGAGTCATTTCTGAGTAAGGATGAAATAATATCAATTAGGATGACATAATATTAGAGATTTTAGTATAAAAGTGTAGTAAATTGTATTAGACAATGTATGAATGAATTCTATTACAATGAGCATCCTATTTATAATAACTTGTAAAATTTAATAAAGGTAATAATTGAAGAATCCTCATTATTTTAGTAATGTTGACAATATTGATTGGCATCTTCATCTTTTAGGAAATGTTGACTTAGTTGATTGATATTTCCTTGATTTCGCTCCTTAAATCATGGGATGTAATTATGCTTGTTATCCGAGCATTCATTACGCATCATCAAATGGTCCAAGCTTTGAAGGGAAGCTACCTTACTCAGAAGGGCGATCGACTTACTCAGAAAAGTGCTGTTAAGTTCGAACTTTCCGTACTCAGTTGGAACCACTGCGCCGAATAATATTTCGTCATTCAAGTGATTCGTTTCTTGATTTAGCTTTAATTGATAGATTCTATAGTCTTGATTAATTTCATAAGATCTTTAGTTGATTGTTGACTTCTTGATTGGCCCAATTAAATCCTTGATTGATGAGCTATGATTTCATTGAATATCCTTTGATATCTTTGATCATGCATCTTTCCTTTTTCAGCTTGTTTCCTCATTATGTGTGAGTGAAGTCAAATATTGTATTCTTTAATTGATTCTTTGATTGATCTTTTCCTAATTTGTAAGTTGCTAGAATCCACTCCCAACACTATTGTAGTTTTACTGGTTTTGATATACGTAGTATAATCAGCATACTTATATTATACGTACATAAAATTGGTATAAGTACCATGTATGTGGATGTATATGCATATGATCAGAAGCACAGTACGGTAGTTGCTGCCGTCAATAATGAGATTGGAGCTTGTATAATAGCTACTCTTGTTTGATCAGTCATCAACAAAATTCGTCTACTAACCAAAAGGCAAGCTATTATCAAGTCTTTGCAACAAATATATAATTCATGCTTTGAAGTCTTTCATAATCATAAACCAATATGTTAGTGTTATTTTGCTAAGAGTAAAATATGGCAGATGTAAAATACTAAAACCATACAAGCTATTATTCTGGGTTCTTCCATGTTTTTTGTTTGACCTTATAGGACATAAGCTTGACCCTTATACTTTTTTCTTAGCTGTAATATTTTGGCTTTGATATTTACTAGCTTAAAACTTTTGACCTTTTCAGTATATTTCTAGCATATAAATAAAATTAATAGAAAGTTGATTTGTAAAAATAAAAATTAAGATGAATTTAACACCACTCTTATTATGTTTTAGCCGAGGCACAAATCACCTAAGATGGTCAAAAGAGAACATTTAAGAGTCAATGTGAAATTTTTAAAAAAAAAACACACACACACAAAGGAATTATATACTCGTATTATCCTTTTTTTTTTGTTTATACTCTATACTAATTACTATGTATGTGGTTAATTTAAATGAACTTTACATATAAGTTAAATTATCAAATATAAGAAAATAAAACTCCGTAATTAGGTGGGTTTTGATCGATTTATGTTAATGTATAGTTAAAATAATTTCATTTATACATAAATAAAAATATTGTTGTATCGGTCTTCTTCATTTTTTAAATCAAGTGAAATATGGTCAAGAAGACACTAGAAGTATCAAAGACAATTGCAAATTTTCAAGATGCTCAAGCAGTCAAGGAGTCAAGCTTCCAATCCAACTGTAAAAAAAGGGTCGCTTTTTGCCACCTCCCCTCATCTCTAACATCCACTCCCAAAATAAAAGAAAAAGATATTGCAATCTTTTTCTGATTTTTCATGGACAATTCTAAACCAATCTTCTCATTCTTGGGTTGAAAGTGCCATTACAAGAATGATATGGAATTGGACCACTTATACAGTTGGATTCACAAATATCCTTTAACCACAAAAGTTAGATTTTAGCTTTTTAATCCAATAATTGAATTGGTAGGGTCATTACCTTTTCGTATCTTGATTCTTTTCTCTATATAGTGGATTAAAGAGAATATAAGTTTGAATAATAAATTATATATGAAGATGAGTATACATCATTTGATAGGTCCATACATATAATATATAGTGTTATAGTGATTCATTATATTCATAGACAAGCATAGTTGTTCAGAAAAAAGACCTAAAATATAAGGGAGTCGAGTGAGTGACTATTATATCATGAAATGGTGAGTTTGAATTGCAACCCATAACCTCTTGTGACCTAGTAAAAAGGTTAATGATCGCAGATTAAATTTAAAAAAATTTAATTTAAGTGAAATTTCTCTTTTCCTTCAAGTTGAATTTCACTCTCTCTAAGTTAAGTCTTTACTTGGCATCAACATATTAAATGATAATACTTTAGGTTTTCACATGTGTTTACGGTCTTTTAATCTTTGTTATAGAATATCCGTATGTACTAATATTTCCATAAAACCAATTTTGATTCATGAATTCAATATTTTGGATTTCAACTTGTTGGAGTAATTTTAGAAAACGAAATACTATTAGAAAAATCTAGAAATGGTGAACATATCTGAGTATAGAATGATCTATATAAACGAGACAAAGAAAGTGCATGAAACATTCTTAAAGGATTATGTAGGTGGGCGCAAGAAATATAATGATTGGAAACACTAGAAGTTTGGTGAAGAAATTTACAAGTGCATGGACCAATATATAGAATTATAAATAGGCATGCATATATCATCTTTGGGTTTAGAAAAATAGTGTTCTACCGAAGTTATGGTGACGGTCCTGAGGGAATTACTCACCAAAGTTAGAGTGATCGGATACAATATAATGTCACAATGGTTAAGTTCTTAAGTATTTACTTGCTCTCATGATTTATATGTGTCTAATTAAGTGCTCATATTAAGTACACGTTGTACGGGATGATACCAACGCCGATATGATATAAAGAGCAACAAAACGGAACTCCCACCTTAGGTCTTGCTCTATATCGGTACGAATTCCATATCGGCATATTCTCGTCAGCCACGTGGAGAGCTACTTCCGACCACGTGGATATTCACCGCCCATTTGCCATACCAGCAGCTATGTGGATCAACACGTGGCACCAGCTTGGTTATCTTCCTATAAATACCCAAGCATAATTTACTTAAGGTACGATTTTATCTCTATAAACTTCTCTCTCTCTAAAGATAAATCCCGGCCCTGGGTTAACTAATCTATGTTGATTGTGCAGGTATCCAGTTAGACGATAATCAAACCTTTATCGACCCCAGATAACCGTTATTACCGGAGTTCAAGTGTAGGTTTAGAATAAGTCTTCCAATGTAATTAATTACTTCGAAATTATAGTTCATGGAAATTTATAATTGTGATATTATATTTGACTGCATCTGCATCTGTATTTTATCAAAATTCAGAAGTATAAATTAACTAGTTTGAGGAGCCCTTTTCAACTACAACTAAATGAGATACTTCAACCTCCAATCCAATAGTGAGAAGAGCTCCTTTGTTTTGCTTGCATTTGCCACTTCTCCTCATCTCTTACATCCCTTCTCAATATAAAAACTCATGTTGTCTAAATACAAACTCTAGATGCACTTTTTTTAATAAACTTATTTCAGGTGCGTATCTTTATTCTTTAAGGTTTAAACTAGAATGATTCATTTATAATTTTTTTTTATATAACATGCTATCTAGTTTCCAATCTTATCATCCATAAAATATCAAACAAGAATCAACTTTTCAATTGAATAACTTTACAGAAATATCTTGATATTCCTTGCACTACCGAATTTTAGTCTTTTCACCTCAAAATTTAAGTAGAGGATAATTAATGGTGCTATTGTTTGTTTAATAGTAAGTCTTATATGCAACATGTATTTATACACTTAACTAATTTCACTTCGCTGCGAAGTTTATAGCATACATACAAGTATACAATACATCTATTGTATATATAATAAGAGTTTTTGTCTTGTTCAAGATAATGAATTTCATCTTTCTAGTTGGTCAAGCTATCAACACGGAAAACTTTTGCTTATAAATTAGGAAAATTTGAAAAATACCACCATGTATTGTTCACATTTTGCACAATAGCACCTCAAGTTTTTTTTTTTTTTTTTTTTTTTTTTTTATTGTATATTACCACCTAGTTTTCTCAAAAACTTAAAAACTCCCACCACTTTTGCCCGACACCCCTAAATGACGTCACGGTGGGTCCTACTAACCAATTTTCCTTCGAATTTCACCTTTCTTTTTCCCTAATCATCCTAATTAACCAATTATACCCTCGATTTTGCATTGTCGTTTGGCTTGAAGAACATATTAGCGAATAAAAACCCTAAATAATGCCTAATTGATTTGCAAATTGATATTAAAATTAGACAAAGAGGAAGAAGAAGGAAGAACAAAGGTGAGAATCGAGGGAAAAGAGAGGAACAATTGGTAGTGGGACCCACCGTGACGTCATATAGGGGAGTCGGACAAAAGTAGCTAGTGGTGGGAGTTTTTTAGGTTTTTGAGAAAACTAGGTGGTAATATACAATAAAAAAAAACTTGAGGCGGTATTATACAAAATGTGAACAATACATGATAATATTTTTAAAATTTTCCTATAAATTAGACAACTACTTTATTAAAAATTTTGAACTTATACGTTATACTTTCTTTCCTTGGTCTTTTGTTTATTCATCATCCATTTCATTTAATTGTAATATTTGGACTTTACACTACTTACATCCCTTTTTCTTACCCATCTATGTGATTTGTACATGTATACTTAAAGTATAGTTACGTGTGATTAGAATCAGTTTGATATAAACTTTCAAATATTAACTTTTTACTTAAAAAAATTAGTGATTAAGTTTGAGAGTTCTGTAATTTTAAAATATACATTCTCCTTTGTTTTATACTTCCTCTGTTTCATATCATATGACACATTTCAATTATAATTAGGCTCGTTTGTCAATGTATACTTTCGAATACAAATATCCTTAATATCCTTAATTGCATATTAGCTATAATTATAAAAATTTGATATTTGAAAGATAGACGTTAAGACGATTCTAACAAGACTCCACATGACTATGTTTTTTCTCAACACGAAATCACAAAACAAGTCAAAGCAAGTTATGTGAATAACGACAATATATGAAAAGGAAATTAGGACCTGGTAACTAGGTAATAGTACAAAGAGGCAAAAGGTAGGCATGTGCATGAATTTAGTCATAATTTTGGATCGGTTAGTTGAATTAATTTGTACGCTCACATCCAAGCTCCATTTGTTTGATCACTTAGAAGGCTCTCAATGAGTAAACAAAGTCTCCAAATGAAACGAGCATAAGCATAACCCTTTGGTATATGAATTTGATGAACAAATAAGAAGCAACTTAAATACACCTGAGTATATATTGGACACTTTGACGTGAATATCTTGAAAATTTGAAATTGCAAGTAAGGACTTTTCAGGGCAGCCGTGATAATGTTCACGTGAAAACCCGTTTCTGTTGGTTCGGATCCACAATTATTAAAGGACCCCAGCCACTATTTGCATGTCTAGAAAACAACAGCTACAAATTAAAATCAATCAAACTAAATATTATTATTACGGCTATTTCACCAAATGCCACTAAACAATTGCAAAATTCACCAAATGTCATGAATCTTTTCAAAATTCACCAAATGCCACCGAGTTTTAAAATAATTCACCGAGTGCCATTAATGACTGACAGCTGTTAGTTGACCCCACCACTTGCCACGTGTCACCTTTTGATTGGTCCGTTTTTTAAAAAAATAAAAAATAATTAAAAAATAGATAATAATACAAAAAAAAAAAAAAAACTGAACCCAAAATCCCAGCCACCAGCCTAGCCGCCGGCGGTCCCGGAATCCCAGCCACCAGCTGGTGGTGGAGGTTTCGGGATTTCGCTGGTGGTTTCGCATTGTGGTGCTGGTGGTCGGGGTTTCGAGATTTCACTGGTGGATTTCGGAGTTTCTAGTGGTGGTCGTTTCTGGTGGTGGTTAGGGTTTCGGGATTTCGCTGGTGGAGTTTGTGGTGATGGTCAAGGTCGGGATTTGGGAGTTTCTGATGGTGGAGTTTCTGGTAAAACGCCATTGAAGCTCCATTGAAGCTCACGCATGAAAGCTTGAGGAACATCGTTTCTTCACCAAATTTTATTAAACTTGTACCAAAATGTTCACAATTCAACATACAATCAATTAGCTAGAGCAAACAATTTTGTGAATTGCTTCACCAAATAAAAACCCCAATTCAATTTTTTTAGGGTTCTTCACAAAAATTGGTGGTGATTGGAGTTGTTGCTGGTCAGCTTTTGAGATGTAGTGGTTGGTGTTGGCAGATGCTGGTGGGAGTTGGTGTGGTAAGTTTGCTGCGATGGTTGTGAACTAACGGAGAGGGAGAGGAAGGGGGGGTGGGGTTTCGGGGTGGTGGAGGAAGGGGGTGGGGTTTCGTGGGTTAAGGGGTTGCGACGGGATAGGGGAGAGGAAGGGGACGAGTTGCTGGCGGCCGGCGCGCCTTTTGGTGCTAGCCCTGGCGGTAGAGGGTGGTGGTGGCTAGGGTTTTGGGGTGGGCAGGGGGCTCGACGGCAGGGAGGAGGTGGTGGCTGGCCACCTCTGAGTTCTCTTTTTTTTTTATATATATTTTTTTTGTTTTTTATTTTATTTTATTTTTTTATTTTAAAAAACGGACCAATCAGAAGGTGACACCTGACAAGTGGTGGGGTCAACTTACGACTGTCATTCATTAATGGCACTCGATGAATTTTTTTAAAACTCGGTGGCATTTGGTGAATTTTGAAAAGGTTCATGGTATTTGGTGAATTTTGCAATTGCTCAGTGGCATTTGGTGAAATAGTCGTTATTATTATTATTGTTATTACTATTCCATTTTAAATTATTTGCAATTATTAGACATATTTTATATCAAATTGTTGCAAATTATTTTAACGAAGGTAGTAAAAACTCTCTCTATCCTTTATTAGTTTTTCTATTTTTGATTTTGGGTGTTCTAAAATAATTTTTCTATTTTATTTTGGACACTATAGCCTTCACTTTCGTCCACCGAAGATATCCCTGGCTTCGATTTTTTGTTGGCTTCTATTTGTTATTTCACTCAATTATTCAAAATATCTTTACTATCTCTATTTCATCATATTATTTACAACGATTAGATATTTTTCCTCTCTACTTTATGCAAAATCGTAGCAAATAATATGAAACGAAGATAGTATATTTTTTCTACATATTTGTGTTCTCACTTATGTGCATATACTTTTTTCCTTTTTAGGGGAAAAACAATATGGTATGAAGAGACTATTACAAATTACAAGTATTACTATAATTCAAATTTCAAATTGAAGGGGATAAGGATTAAAGATTTTCTCCATATCCACACTTCTGGGAGTTGAAATCTTGACCAACAGCCAATCACAATGCAGTACCCCACTTGAACACAGGTCTTTATCTTGTTTTCTTTACCTTTTTCATTTCTTTTTGTTTGTGTTCTGAATTAAAGGATGTCAACATCTGACAGTTAATAATTGATCATATACTGTATAATCCTACTTGTATAATATAATATTATTTTTGTAAGGATTAATATGATTTTATTTAATTATTTTACATTATTGCTTGTACTCTATGTAAGGATAATTAAATTTAGAAATTAGGTAGTGTATTATATTAAGTCAATGTAAAATACAAAAGTGCATGTATGTATGGCCTAATAGATATGGAGGTGATGATGCAGAGTAATGATTTAAAGAAATTATTGTTTGATTTTAATAAAAAAAAAACACCATTAAAGATTATTGGTCGTCCTTTTTATTGAAATATACTACCTCCGTTTTTTTTATACTTGACACGTTTTGACTTTAGTACTATTTACACACTTCTCTTTGACCGTGTTTTGTGCTTTATACGTAATGAAAAATATAGTCATGTGGGATCTTGTTAGATTCATCACAATATATATTTTCAAAATATCAAATTTTCATAATTTTTACTTATCGGTAATTAAAGATATGAATGGTTGAATTTGTGCATTGGCAAACTGACTAAAGAAACGTGTCAACCAAAAAAGAACGGAGGAAGTATATTAAGAAGAAGAATAAAAAAAAACTTGTGTGAAAATGATTTAAGAAAAGGAGGTTGCTAGCGAATAAATGGTGTTATACTACTTTTACTTGTTATTACTTCACATATACGAATTAAGTATTATTATTTAAATTCTAATCTTCTATTTATGCCATACATTTAAATTAAAAGGTTTTTTTTCATAATGACATGGCGCATGACATCATCTGCATGATAATAGCATATATCATACTTTCTTAAAAAATGATTTTCTATGACATTTGTTTGGCCCAGTGATCTCTTTTAAACTTTTTCTTGAAAAAACGATTTAGTGAGTCTCAAAACCTTACACCTCTTATCGAATCATTCTAGTCACCAAGGCAAAGAGAACTTGCCGACTTCCATATAGCAACTCATATAATGTGATTAACATGCATCTAATTAAAGTGCAAAAAAAAAAAAAAAAAAAAAAAAAAAAAAGAGGCGAATATATAAAGCAACCACGAGTTATTCTTCTGACCATTTATGATTAATCTTTCACACTCACCCCTATTCTAGTTACTTCTCATAACCACAACCACCACCACCACCACTTAGCCTTTACAAGCCCACTAAATTTGACGTGGTTGCGGATAGCCACCATCACCACTTGGTTACCTTCCACGGACCAACGACAACATCTCTCCTCCACGGCACCAACAACCATAACCCCATACCAATTAGCATCACATAGACAATACAGTAAACTTGAAGCCACCTTACAAGTAGTTTTAGCCTATAATTCTCATTCGATGTACACCTATATATTTATAGTATCACATAAAGTGGGGCTCACTAAAAAGATCGACCCACTTCGTTCACAACTAGTTCAATATTTAGTTTAATACACTTAGTTGCTTAAGAATAAGAAGGTTCCATGAACTTTACTAATACAGAATTGAAGGTTCTATACTTAATACCCTAAAACACTATGTATATATAAAATCATAATTATTATCAGAATCATATGATTTTTAATTCTCTGCTTAATTGGTACGTGCATGGTAGGGTACGTGTCTTATATCTTAGCTTGTTATACAAAATTAATAAATCACAAAGAAGTATATGAGGTTGAATATAATCATCAAAGCAATAAATAAAATCATAACAACAGATATATGGAGTATTAATTGTCAAACTTTTCATTATTAATGTAATTTAATTACATACAATATGCTTGCATGGGTTCGAATTGAAGAGAAACACAAGGAGCTAGCTTAATTAGTATTAACTTGAAGGAATAGAAACAAACCAATTGAAACATCTATCTATAAGAAGGAAATTAAAAATGATGCAAGAAATCTTACATCCGAGGAAGCTTGAATGTAATGTGATCGTACTTTGAAATATGATCGATATATGGAATAAGCAAGACATACATAAATGAGGTGATGATGAGTGTACCTCCATGGTACGTACACATCAATATCTAGTTTCTTTGGATGAAATGAAAAATTTGCAAACATGAAAAATACACCATCACTCTTGAAGTAAACCTTAACACTCCTTAAAAGGGGACACAAAAAAGTGCGCAAAATCAAACAAGCAATGCTTATGTATACTTTACATGCAAGCACAAACCCTAACTAACTTTAATTTGTAGAGATAAGTAGTTTTGATAGATGGTAGTCCATGTAGATATATGGGATCTACATGTCGCGAACCTGGAAGACATTAGGGTTCTTAACGACAATGTCGTACATGTAGACCGAGCTAAATTTGGAGAACTCCCTAGGAAGTGATATCAAATCAATGGAAGATCTCTTATGGAATTGGTAGAGATCAGGATCACCTCCAAAGTAATGCTCCCACCCTAGATCTTTAAGGATTGGTTCAAGGGTTTGGTATGATGAAATCACTCTTCCGGTAGGAAGATGCACGAGCACCTTCTTCCTTGCTCTTGCCTGATCACTTCCACCCTGGTCGGCCTGAGGGTTCTCCACTAAACGAATCACGCCATTGTTCTTGAACACCCATACTCCTGACATCTTTAGCTTTAGTTTTGTTGATTTTTCTTTACTAGACTGAGTGTTAGGGTATTGAAGAGGATTAGGTTTTTTTTCTCGAGATGTATAAAAAAGCTAATCAAGCAAATGTTTAGAGGTGGATGGATGAGTGAATGGGGAGGTATGGGAAGGAGGTATATATATAGCTAGGGGGCATGGGGTGAAGATAAAACAAGGGGGGAATACTCTTACAATACATCCATCACTTATCAAATTATCATTACCTTTAGCATAAGAATCTAGATGAAAGGGTCCCACTACCATGGGTGTTCTTAATTTTGATTGGGGGGAACAAGAAGATGCCTTGTGGTGTGATTTAGGGCACACGTGGGTATAGTTTAGGAGGAATTTTGATGCTTATGTTCATATAAATAGAAGAATCTAGGGAACCAAGAACAAGTAAAAAGGAAGAGCTAGTCTAGCCTACAACACTAGACATCAAAAGGAAAACTAATCCAATGGCAAAAAAGGTAGTGCCCACTTTGATCACGCAAAGCCCATGTGAATAAGGTGTATGGGGGATGGTAACACTATATTATTGGTCCATAGCATGTAATTAACATGTAGTGTACTTTAGATACTATGATTTTATGGTTTATAATTGCTTTGAGCTAGAGAATTTGTGTAGAGGACAAGACCTAATGATGAATTGATATGTATATTGGGTCTTGTCATATGAATAATTTGTTTGGTGTTCATAATTATATGTCACAAAGTTTTGATATGTCTTATAGTTATAGTTATATGATTGTGAAAAAGGATAAATTTAGTGCCCATCATTTGATGGTCCTACATGAAAAAAGGTATGTGTGTGCATGCAAGTTTGAGTTGGAGCACAGAGAAAGGTCATATCAATGTACTCATCAGCATATGATGAAAGAAAGGAGTTCATATGGGCAAAGGAGATTTTTGTTCCACACACATTATCAAGTTCAAACTACACATAAGAGGTGACAAGCGGATCGGATCTTTTGACTGAATTTGGATTTTATAAAGGTGATTGATCTATAATTTGGGTTCAGGCTATTTATATTCAAATCTTTTGCAAATTCATTAATGATAAAAATTTCAAGCACACATCATGTGTATATATAGTGGTATAGCGTAAGCTAATTTTAGGACTTGGTGTCCACATTTAGCATAACCAATCCGATTGCTAATTCAAATTTTTTTTGGCAGGTAAGAAAAAGGTACTTGTTTTACCAGAACAAGATCATACACAAGCCATTCTGACCCACGCTAGTGAGCAAGACATATAGGTGGAAGACAAGAAATCTCCATCTCTAAAGTGCCCTCCGTAAAGACTAATCTTCCGATTTCAAAGTTGTGAGATACAATCATATAAAATCAACTTATGTTTGATACAAGCTGATTTACTTATGATTGATAGTATTAAGGATTAAGAACATGTGACGTATAGCTGATGTTATACTAGGGCCATATAAATACAAATCAATCATTTGCATATAAATTAAAATGTCATTTTTAGAGACATGGGCCAAACTACTTGGAATGATGAGGTGGAGTCGTCATCTCAATTAAATTAATAAGCACTGTATTAGATTAGATATAATAAAATAATATCATATAGACAAATAATGTCTTACATATTAGTAACCAATTCGTACAAAAATGATAAATCAATTAAATTTAGGGTATTTTCACTTTTACCACCTTCAAATAACCACTTAATTGAATTTACCACCTCCAAAAAAAAAAAGATTTTTTTTACCACCAACAAAATTTCCAAAAAATCGATTTTACCACCAACCAACGGATTCCGTCCACGAATCCGTTAGTAGGGCCCACCTTTTTGACGTTTCTTCTTCGTCTTCCCCGATCTTCCGTGTAAACCAACCAGCAACGAAATCAACTACCTCGGTTGGTCGGAATTTCGTGTGTGACTAAGGAGGGGCCGAAATTTGGTGTGTGGGTTAGGGAGGTGGTCGGATTTAGGTGGTGGTTAGGGTTTTAGGAGTGCGAAATTTGGTGGTGGCTAGGGTTTTTAGAGTGGTCGGAATTAGAAGGGGATTTATGGGTGGTCAAGATTTGGTGGCTGCCAAAAACTAAGAAGCCAAATCACCAACAACAAGGATACAAATCAATTATCATCAACATTTCTACAAACCAAAGCAATTAATCCATTACAATACTCACAAATCGAAACCTCAAAACCAGAAAAAGAATTGGGTAAATCAAACCTTGTCAATCGTTTTTAGCATCAAGCTCAGAACCCCACTTCAATGAAGTCGATTCCAGGTGACTTCCATGGTTGAGGATAAGAAGACGACGGTCAGAGGAGAGAGAATGAGCGAGATGAAGTCTGATTAAATGGGTGCTGTTGATTGATTAAGGAATGCCAAGCCTTGGAAACGCATTTGAAGCGAAGTAGTGATTTAGTGGGTAATCGAAAAGAATGGAGGTGATTAACTCCATTGGAAGAGACGCCATTGTTGTGGCTTTCGAGAAAACAGAGCAAAAAATAAATAAAAATTGGTGGAAAGGTGGTTGTGGCTGTGCGGTGCGGTGGTGGGGCTGGTCGTAGCGGTTAGGTGGTGGGGGCTCGTCGTAGCGGTTAGGTGGTGGGGGCTGGTCGTGGCTGGTCGGCGGTGGGGGTCCTGACGGTGGCAGCAACACCGGTTGATTAATGGGGATTTTTTTAATTTTTTTTTAAAACTTACCCAATAATATGGCGACACGTGTGCAAGGTAGGCCCCACTAACGGATTTATGGACGGAATCCGTTAGTTGGAGGTGATTGGTGGTAAAACTGATGTTTTATTTTTTTATGAGGTGGTAAAGTAAATCTTTTTTTTTTGGAGGTGGTAAATTAGACAAAGTCATTATTTGAAGGTGGTAAAAATGAAAATACCCTTAAATTTATTTTGTTGCAAATTAGTGAAATGATAAGTCATTGTCCTACTACACATGCACATTAACCTTATTAGAGCATGTACTAGCTACTTTATGTGAAAAATAAAGATAAATGTACTGACCACACCAAATAATTAAGCTTTAATGAACTTCCAACATCATGCTAACTTATGTCATGGAAATAAGCGTTACAACCACATGAAACTCACATGGCCTCATTGGTCCTACATCTCAACAAGCCGCTATTGCCATTTGGCAAAGTTATTTGTCTAGTCAAAACCATTGCCATCAACTCACCAAGGATATATCCTTCTTTAAAAGAAAAAAAAAACAATAGATATATCCTCTTTTATCATGAAATGTATATATATTTGCTAAGAGTTGGGCATGAGTCGGATAGATCAGTCCACATGTCGTGCAATCGTGCCATGCATGCATTGTGCATTATTTTAAAGTGGATAATGTTTGTAACGGTGTAAGAAAAAATTGTGTTGTGTCAGACCCATATTTTATACATAGAGCCTATATGCATGAACCAGTCCACGTGCATGTCAGTGGGGCAAACTTTTAATTACTAATCTTTTCACGAAATGTATTTTTTTTTTTGTAAAATTGCCAATTATCAAAGAGTTGATACATGAACTACCCCGTCGTGCTTATGCTAGACTTGTGTCAAATTTTGAAAATAACGTCCATACAATGCATCACTTGCTTTGTTGGGTTTGGGGTGGGTTAGGACATTTTCATGCCAACATGATTGATTCCCAACATCATAATCCCTTCTCTTCATATTAGTAAATCTATGTACACATTAAGTCATTTTGAATGTATATTTGATGCCAAAGGTAATTATCTGTGTTGTATAACAAATCTGAGCTGACATAAATAATAATATGTCAATTAAATTCAAACAAAGGAAGTCACACATTAAAAAGGAGGCAATCTTAACAACAACAAATCAACAATATCAACATGACTAGTTAGTACCGATGTACCCACACCGGACCACCAACAATTCAACATGCTAAAGCAATAGCAATCACCATCTCTATACATCTTTTGTATATGAAATACCTTTTTTTAAAATGGAAAGTCAAAATTAAAATTGGTAAAAAAATACAAGATGCATATATTTAACAATATTGCATGTGACTCAAATTATTAATTTAAGATGTGTGTCATCTTCATTAATTTACCAATCATATAATTCTAGACGTATATGGTTACAAATTGTTCTTCTTATTATACAGTTACATTTAAAACAATCTACAATGTTTCTCTTATATATATATACATCATAATATTGCATAGAAGAAAATTAAGGCAAAGCAAAAACATAAGATTCTAATTCTTTTAGTTAAGTACTCCGTATTTCCATTTCAATATTTCAGCCACTAAAAAATGTCCACACTTTAGACGACAAATTTAAAGGCATGTTTTTCTTCTTCTCATCATTAATTATGTTTCTAGTCTAGGTTTCAGATTCTAATTAGCTTAGTAAGGAATTTTGTCAAGGTCAACTTTTGTAGTGTATTTTGTTGGGAAATATTACCTACTTATCATTATGTTCTTAGTAACTTTTTTTTTGACATCAAACTTCACTTTTATCATCATTTCTAAATTATACACAAAGGAAATAAAAAAAAAAAATTAAAGGTACTATATGAAATGGAGATGATTTAATTTGTATGTAAATAGTTAGTATAGAACTCAAAGTACGATTCGGATTGCATTAATCTTTTAGTAAACATCGAGTATGGATCTCTAAATTAGCATGATTCAGATTAATTATTAGTCAAATTGGGGTTTTGATTTGTTTCTATATGAGTTTTGGATAGTTGATTGAAAAACTCTAAAACACATTAGATTTGCCAAATTGAACATTACAAATAACTAAATAGGTCAATTATTCATAGGGCCAATAAATATGTGGTTTTTGTTTTTTAAGAAAACTTTAATTGTTAATATTTTTTATTATTAATAAGTAAAAATTTGAAATTTTACAAGTATATATCCAAATAGTTTAACAAAGTTCAATATCACATAATTATGTTTTTACTTGCGTATAAATCACAATAGTTGGTTAAAATGGTAAGTTTTACTAGTTTAAAAACTCAATACTATTCAAAATATTATCCTTCATTGTGGAATTTGATAGTTTAAGGGCGTGTTCGGCGCTAGCTTTTAGTGGTTTGACTTAGTCAAACCACTACTTAACAAAAAAAATTAGTGTTTGGCAATGTAGTGGT